CTTTTGATTTTGGAAAATCCTTCAAATAATTTTAGCTCCTGTGCTAAGACTGAGATATACATTTAATGTAGCGATACTTTAGTCTTTGGCATTATTTGTTTTTACTGTTGAGTAAATACTGCTGAGATGTCGTCAAACTCTCTCTTTGAAAGTCAACATAATCGATATACATATATTTTATTTTTTTCTTTCGGTGCTAAAGTTGGAGATTAAAAAGCACACTTCAAAATATTGTTAGCAAAATAAACAAGACATTATTTGACAGTACTGTGATCCGCTTATGCAGTTGGCCGACTCGGCTTAATAAATGCTAAGTAAATATGCATAATTAGATTACGTTAACAAAAAGAAAGAAACATTTTTGCGGCAAGCCCTTTGAGTTGACTGTCTCCTAACTTTGACTAGTATGTATCTTTAGATACGTGTATCTGTGTCTGTCGACTGCTTGCAACCATAGTCAGCGTTGCTCGCCATTTCTGCCGCATTTGGCTTAATTCAATTATGCTGCTTAAAAAGCCAAATGCCTTGAAGGCGAGCTAAAAACCCATCTGTGGCAGGAGTGGAGGATAGACTGCTAGTCAGGGCATGATTGTGGTAACAGTCGACGTCCTGACTGACTGATGCCACAAGCGGGGGCACAAACAAAAAGCAAAAACTACTCGCAATACACTTTCCATTACCTTTTCAGTTTACCATTTTCTCCTTCTTTTTTTTTAGCTCCCTATTTTCTGTTTTTTTTTTTTGTTCCAACGAAATTTTTACTGACTTTGACAGGCAGCAAAGCGGCAGATACACAGAAGGAACTTTCAGACTCTCGAGCAAATGCACACACAGACGGGGTACACATACACACACACACACTGACTGTACAGCGTCAGTCAGAGAGTTGTGCCTTGTAAATAGGATTCATCTCGCTGCGCGCCCAGCCGCCGTTTGGCTCTGCCCCTGCGCCTGTGCCTGTTTCTGCCACAAGCTGCTTGGCTCAGTTTTTATGCTTCTGCACAAAATGCAAAATAATGTGGCAACATCTGGCTCTGCCTCCGAGCCGGCGTCGCCTCTGTTCTCGCCAGACACTCAAGTAGATGGCTGGCAGCCAAGACAGGGGGGGCCTGCGGGCGGGTAACCATGCAGTCGGGGGCAGTCAGTTAACTACCATCCATCCATCCATCCATCCCTCCATTTCAAACATTTCAACCATCTAGCAAACCGTCCGTGCAACCATTCGTCGTTGCCGTCTATCCGTGCGTTCATCTGCGTCTCGGCTGGCCAAACTTTTGAGTATCTCTGCTGTATGTACGTGCATATCAAGTGTACATCTTTTTCTCGATGTGCGCTTTGCTTTTTATACTCTTTATGCGTAATGGTATGCGAAGCGAAGGGTTCCACACATTTGTAACAAATTGAAACCGTACTCAGGAATTGATATTACATGTATCGCAACTGTTTAAGTTCGTATGACAGGATTACTTGAACTAGATAAATGTACATTTTATTGATGAAATTAGTTTGCTGATTTCCTTGTAACGAAACCAAAAATAGAAATTGGTTTATTTATATTCAGATTTAGATAATTTGGCATTTCTAAAGCAAGTGAGCCTATATTGATTTCAAGTTCGTCGCTCTTAGTTTTTCATGCTCTTTTTTCCCTCTCTCTATTTTAATTTTTTTTGTATTTGTTTTTTATGTGTGCTAGTTGCATTTGTGGTTTTTGTTTAGCATGAAAATATGTTTTTCACCATATGTACTAGTTTCGTGTTTACACACTTGTGTGCAGATACATTTTGTGTACATGTATGTGTGATGTATATCCAGGTTCTGTGGTATTAATGTTTTTGATGGTTGCTGACTGGCTAATACCTCCGTATATGGCTGCTTCTGCTTTTGCGAAAGCCAAACAGTTAAATAAATATGTTGAGTTTGAATTCACATGGGAGTTTTTGATAAAGTAAATTTAAAAAATCAAAATCAAAACAGCTATTCTGTATTTTATAAGGTTTTGCTTTGGTGAAAATAAAGTTCTTAATCAAATTTAATGATTGATTTTGATTGACCTGCTTTCCATGGTATATTTGAAATAAAGAACCTAGAGAGATGAGACTTTTGAATAGTGTTCCACATTAATAATTATATGAAACAAACAATAAGGCATAATTGTAAGCTAATGAAATGAATATCACATTTCTGACATGACTATTAATTGACTGTAAAATGATAATTGATTGGTTATCGTTATATATTGGAAAAAATTACCTTTTATAGATGATGTGCCACACCTGATTTGAGTTTAATTCGATACAGTTTGTTGCACATCTAACAAACTGTGCGAGAGGGGGGCACGTTTATCCATAAGTACGTTTATTTGTATTTAGGTAGTTTCTCCCCAGCACACACACACATAGATACACACACATACTTATTGTTATTGAGAGAGAATGCGGCGCGGCTTGGCTTTTGATTTACGTTGCTGTTGGCAACGTTCTTTGGCCTTCCCCTCCCCCACCTCTTCACTCGGTTCGCTCTGTTGCACAGTCGACACGTCTTTGACTGCTTTGCCGTCGTCTGTCGACTGAAGCTTTGCCTACGACGAAGATTACTGTGCCGAGTGCCTAAAAATATGAAACTCAACGTTGCCAGGACAATTTCGCAGAGCGCAATGATGTGGATGAGAATGTGTATGCATTCGTGCGTGTGTGTTTATATGTGTGTATTTGTATTTGTATGTGTATGTATGTTGCATGTTGAATGATGTGAGCGACGGCGTCTCCCGCTGCTTGCTGAGCCAGCTGTAAACGGGCGGCAGTTGCTTGTTAAATTCTTCTTATGCTTTGTTTTGCTGTCGATAATGGCGGCAATGGCTACACACATTTACACAGAGCGGGGCAAGGTAGGCGCAGGGGGGTGCTGCCGTAGCTTTGGCCTCGACTCCTACTTTAATTTCCAATCGCTGACAGCGTCTTCATGTAGAAGCTGTTGGAGACGAGTAGCTTCTTTGATGCCTCTGCCTACACTCAGAAAAAATTGTATTTTTATACAATGCCCTAAAATGAGAAAATTGTTCTTGTTTTTAGAAATAATTTCGAATTTCATAAAATCAAAAAAATGTACAACCACATTTTTAATATGTTTCAGAAATATATTTCTTACTTATTTCGGAAACAAGTATCAACTGGCTCAGCTTTGATATTAGAGTTTAACTGTTGGCTGCTTTATAGTTCGCGTAGCGTAGTGGGAAGTCATTTTACTTGATATCCCAGTAAAGTAGTAGGTTTTTCTCTTGTAGTCAAAAGTATGCCGAATTTCTAAAATTCAGGTGATTTGGTTTTCTGAGTGTATTTGTGGCTCGTTTGCCCTACACGCCTTCGCCATGCTGTTTGCTGTTTTTTTCTGTTACGCGCCGCCTTATCCGTAATTTCTCATTTTTTATCCAATCCTCCTTCGCCCTACGCCCAGGGAGCTTCATTTTATCCGTATTCAAATTAATGGTTCGCCTCTTCGCTCAATAGTTGTAACAGGACAGCCGCCCCATGTTCTGGGTATTATGCAAATTCTTCGCCTGCTTTGTGTTTGCTGGTTTTTCATTACATTTTGTAAACAATACATTGAAATGACAACAGCATCAACGGCAACAATATGTTGCGAGAGCAAAAGCGGCGACAAAGTTGAACTCTTAATTGAAAAACTACATCACGCACTCGCCTCTAAGTTATGTATATATTTCAAAACTGATTTCCATTTCGTCCAGCTTAGAAGCTGCTGCTGTAGATCACATTAAGTTCGGAAGTTCTCTGGCAATTAAAAGGGCTTCATTTGGCCACAACGCAGTCCTGAATCAATATGTCCAAAACCAATGATTGCTAGTTGGCTAATATTTTCCAAAAACACGTTATGGGAAACGAACGCACAACTCACAAAACATAAACACAGCAGAACAGAAATACCATTACTTAATAAAAGTGCTGTGGCTGAAGTGATGAACTAGAAAATATATTAACACGCTCCGCAATCTGTAGACTACACTTAAAATTCTAATGCTTTTTATCAACTTATAACTTAATTGCCTTGGAATAACGTGAATCATTGACTTATTACTCGATTTATTTGTCTATTTCACTCCAATTAACAATTAACGTAGCAATCCTGGAATCTCAAGGATTAGCTAATATGTGTATACTCTTAATAAACATACCTTGTAGGGTATTAACAAAACAAAAAAAGAGTGCAAAGCAATTTGAAAATGAAGAAGTGCAAAGAACTTTTTCAAGCACTAATGAAACTGGTTTGCTCTCTGTTTCTGTTTCTGTTTCGGTTACTGGTGGACCTCTCCACCGAGACGTTCCAAAAAATTCGTGAGTGAGTATTTGCGACGATTCCCCTCAGCTGAGTTGGTTGGTTGGTTGGTTAGCTGGTGCCTCCAAATGTGTTAAGTTGCCTCGTTTTGTATGCACAAAGGCAGCCAGCAGCAACGGCAACTCCAACTGTTGAGCAAGGAGAGCAGCGGGGGGTATTTGGCACTGCCGGCGGCAAATTGAAGCGTTCCAGTCTCGAAAATAAACAACTTTGAAATGGCGCGCAATTTTACTCACTTTAGAAGTATCTGAATGTGTGTCTGTGGGTGTGTGTGTGTGTGTGTGTGTATCTGCGAGACACTGCTGCTGCTGCTGCTTTGCTGTGTTGTTTGTCGTTCTTTAGTGGTAGCAGTATTCAGTTGCGCTTTGGTCACGTACAAGATTGCTGCCCCCAAATGGTTGTCGATGTTTATGCCTTTCCTTGCTTGCTGTTCATTATGGGAGACCAAATCGCGTGCGTCCCCCTTTTTGGTTACCCGATACTCTCAATCGGGCAATAATAAACACGACTGGGTCCAGGCCATTAGTGGGTCAATGGTGGCCCAATAAATACAATGAATAAGTGCACTTCTTCCCTAAATACAACACACACATACATAAATACATAAAATACATACATAGAATGATTATTAATTCATGATGGTGTCTTTGCAGGAATATTGTCTCCTCCGGGTCCGTTTCTGACGCCCAGTCCATCACCATCGATCTCAGCTAGTCCACGCCTGCAACCATCACCATCGCTATCGCCATTCCCACAGGATGTGGTGCTCGTAGCCGGTGGCAACGCATTAAACGCCAACAGCAATCCACAGGAACACGTACGTATTGCAATGATTTTCATAAAATGATTATGTTCCATCCATTAATCATAAAATAACGAACATCATCCGCTCTTTGCTTTGCTTTTGCAGGAGCGCAAGGCGGCGACGCCTGGCAGGCGACAATCCATACATCAGTTCACAAATGGCAGTCCCAATGCCGGCACCGTTGTCTTTCAGCCGAGTCCTTCACAGTCACCGGCCGCTGCGACGACGGTCATTGGCGTGACAGCTGGCGGTCTCATAGCCGCCGCCGCCGCCGCTGCCAGTGGTCACAACAATAATGCAATCGGCACTGAGCTGAACGCCACGCTCGTCGGCTCCAATAATATTCAACTGAACAAGGTATGTACATCATACATATACGTTATGAATTGTGCTGTGAATCGCTTACTATCATTTTGATAAGATAAGATCCCCTATCAAACTGGAGCACTGATAACCGATAACGTAAGATATACATTGCCACACAACGTAAAACGTTACAAATGTGATGCAATAGTTGAGTACACACAGCAAGTATAGAGACAAACCAGAGACTGCTGTTCAGAGTATTCACTTGTCGACGCATTATTACATTCAACCAAACCACACATCAAATAGCCTCACATAGACAATGGGAAAATAGACCTCTGGGAGCTTCCCATATATGCCTATCTGAAGGCAATCAGGCTTCGAGTCAACTAGTAGTTAGAATAAATATTAGTATTAACATAATTATGCGTTAGTTATTGGCTTAAGCTATGAACCTAAATTATGAATTCCCTTGTGGGTCCCTTAGACTACTGAACTCATATGCATTGGAGCAAAGCCTTGTTGATTATTAAAATGTTCATTTTTGTTTGTTGTTGCAGAAGGGCAACAAACGGACTGGGCAGCAGCAGCAACAACAGCAACAGCTGCAGCAGCAACAACTACAACAGCAACACCAGCAGCAGCAGCAGCAACAACAACTGCAGCATCAGCAGCAGCAGCAATTGCAGCAGCAAATCTTTAGCACCAGCGCAGCGGCGCCAACCTCAATCTGCTCGACAGTAGCCGGCGGCTATGGGCAACCGAGTGCAACGGCAATCAGCACGCCCATTTCGTTTGCGACAGCAAATGTGGCTAGTAGCCCAAAAGGTCAAGCGAAAAAGGGCGCCAACACGGTGCTGAGCCAGCAACAGCAGCAACATCATCAGCAACAACAACAACAGCAGCAGCAGCAGCAACAGGCACAGTTCCAGCAGTATCAGAGCAGTAGTCCGCTGATAGCAGACAGTCCGATACCCAGTCCGAGCAGCGCGATTGCCGCTGCGGCCATAAAACCGCCAACGCCACAGCCTCAGGCCGTACAGATGCTGCCGCAGCAGTTTACTATCACGAGCGGGCCGCAACAGCAGCCGGCGACGCAGCAAGTGTTTCAGTTTATTCAGGGGCCGCAGGGTCAGCTCATTGCCACAGCGCAGCAGCCGTCGTTGCAGCAGCAACATCTGCAACAACATCAACAACATCAACAACAGCAACAACAGCAACAACAGCAACAACAACAACAACAGCAGCAGCAACAGCAACAGCAACGTTTTACCAGCAATGCGGGTATTGCGTTGCCCTCCACTGCCAACACGAAGGCGAGCAAGGCTCCACAGCAGATTCTGCCCAAGCCGCAACAGGAGCTTACAACGCAGCAGCTGCCCAAAAGCAAAAACTCACAATTGCCACAGATCTCGCAGTCGCCTCAGCCGCAACAGGCACAGCTCACTGCCGCCTCCAACAATGCCAACACCCAACAGCAGCAGCAGCAGCAACAAATTTTGTTGCCTGCAACAACGGCACAGCCGCAACAATTGCTCCTAAATCAAATGCCCGTGCTGGTGCAACAGAATCAGCAGGGTGTGCAGCTCATCCTGCGTCCGCCTACGCCCCAGTTGACAGCAACGCCATCGCTGGTGATACAGAACTCGCGTGGACAACCACAGCTGCAGCAACCCGCCCAGCAGCAGCTACTACGGATTGTGAATGCCAATGGTGCCACCATGCAGCTAGCGGCTGCCACACCAACATTCATAGTCTCCTCGCAGGGCAATCTCATACAGCAGACGGCGGCTGCCGGCCAATTCCAAAGTGCCATCAAGACTGGCACACAGCTAAGCGGGCTGCATGCAGCGCTGGCAGCGCAAACGCCACGATCTCAGCCGTTTACGACGACGGCCACCATCAATACCCAGTTGCTGGGCCAGAGCGTTGCGGCACAACTGCAGAATCTACAGTTAGCGGCTGCGGCGGCTGCCAATGGCAATGGCATTGCCCAAATTCAAATGCCCAACGGTCTAGCGGCCATTTCGCAATTGCAGCAAACGCTGGGTGGCGCCACCATCAATCTGAATCAATTGAATGGCGCGCATCTGCAGCAGATAGCGAACGCCTTCCAAACGCCTCAACCGCCGCCACAGCAGCAGCACCAACAACAACAGCAGCAGCAACAACAGCAACAGGCTACAGGTACGGGTTCAGCGAATAGCAATGGCAATAATTCCGCGGACATATTCGCACAATCCTCGCCAGCGCTGGCCGTTACGCCAGAGCCAATGCGTCATCCAACGCCGCAGCAGCAGGCAGCCCTAGCAACTATACAGCTGCAGCATCAGCAGCAACAGCAGCAGCAGGCGCAAATACAACAGCTACAGCAGCAGTTGCAGCAGACTCAAACGCAGGTGCAACAGGCGCAGCAGCAGCATCACCAACAACAGCAACAGCAGCAGCAGCATCAAATTCAGACTACGGAGCCCAAGAAGAAGCCGCGACAGCGCAAAAAGAAACTGCCGCCAGCGACGACGACGACGCCAGCGCCACTGCAAAAAATTGCCATACCTGCCACGCCCACAATAACAACGATGACGACGCCGACGACGGCAGCGCCAATACGAACGCCAACGCCACGCGTTAAATCGCCATCGCCGCCGCCGACGCACATACAGCGTGCCAGCAATGGCAAACTAGATCTCGGCGATGTGATGAAGTTCTGCGGCATAACTGAGGACGACGACGATGACGATGACTACGGTGGCATGGATGCGGTGACAAGTGTCGCACCAACTACAGCCAATGGCAGCGGCAACATTGAGGAAGCACTGCCAGCACCACAAGCACAAACAGCACCACCAGTACCAGCACCACCGCCACCGCCGCCGGCACCCATAAGCAACGGAATCACAACTGCTGCAGCAGTCAATGCAACGGCGCCCAGCTCCAATGATATCATGATCTCCATACCGAGCCAAAACGGCAGCGATGGGCTGCCCTTCACGCTGACCATACCGGCACCGGTGCCGGTCAACGAAGCCACCGAAATACCAAATATCCTCATCAAGATTGATCCAAGCGATGCGGCGGCAGCTGCTGCTGCCGTTGCCGCCGGAGCAACAGTACCACCGTATACGCTATCAACGCCGCGGCTGCCAACCGCCGAGGAAATCCAGCGACAGGCACAGCAACATCTCGCCCAGCAGGCAGCCGCTGCGGCGGCAGCAGCAGCAACTGCGACAGCAACAGCTGCCACCAAAATCTGCAGCAGCATACAGCCGCTGACAGGAGGCGGGACGGTGACGGCGCCAACGATTAGTTTCAATTTGGGCGCACAATCTCAAACCATTGGCGGTGTGACGCTGCAGCCGACGCCCATTGCGGCGAGCATAACGTTGACCACGCCCACAACGACAGCAGCAGTAACGAACAATGCCTCAACTGCAGCGGTGAAGCCGCGTCGCAAACCCGCCGTGCGTCGCAATACCAAGAAGCAAGAAAACTTAGCCAACATCAACAACATCAGCAGCAACAGCAATATTATCAACAATAACAACAACAACAACATCATCAGCAGCAGCAGCACTCTATGTAACATCAGCAGTAACAGCACAACAGCAGCAGCAACTATTAGCAGCAGCAGTAGCTGCATTAGCAATACTGTCAACACCATCACACTGACAACGCCCGTTAGCAACTGCACAACCAACAGTATATTGCTGCCGCATGGCCTCGGACTTGCCAGCGGCAGCAGCAGCAGCAGCAACAACAACACCACGCCGACAACAGTGCCCAGCCAGATTGGCAACATACAAATCTCGCAGGTGCAAAATCATCATCAGTCAGCGTTGCCCATCAGCAGTGCCGTTGAGAATAAGATCCAAATAATGCCCATACTTCCACCCGGTGCCACTGTAATGGGTGGTGCTGTGCCCCCAGCAACAGCAGCAGCAGCAACAACGACAGCAGCTTCTGCACAGCAGGCACAGCTCGTATTTCAGCCAACGCAGTCAGTTACGGCAACAGCAACTACAACATCCGCTGCAGTCGATACAGCAACCATAAAGCTGTCAAGTGACGGACGTCAAATGCAATTGGTGACGATACCACAAGCGACACCACCACCACCCCAATCGGCGCCAATACAAGCGGTGACGACGGCAGGTGGCGCCACTATCTTGCCGCCACAGCTGACAGGCATGCCGGGTAATGTTTCCATTTCGGTGGGTTCACCAGCCTCGGCAGCGGCGCTCGTGCCGCAACTAACGGGCAGCCTAACGCTGGCTGTTTCCGAGCATTGTGAGCGTCTCATATTGCGTCATGATCCCAACAATCCGCAAGATCATCAGTCGCAGCTAATACTGCAGGCACTGCTCAAGGGCGCCCTGCCCAACGTGACCATCATTAATGAGCCCACACGCGTTGATATTAGCAAGCCACCAGCTCCGACGCCGCCGCCGCCGCCACCTCCACAGCAACAGCAACTACTGCCGCAGCAACCACAACCACAACCGTTGCAGTTGCAGCAGCCGCTACAGCAACTGTTGCCAACAGCAACAACAACAACACCAGCAACAGCAGCAGCAGCAGCAACAGTTCCACAAATGCCCAAAGTGTTGCCAGCAGCAGCTCCCAAAGGAGAAGTCAAAGGTAAGTGTAGAAGTTGGTAGAACTTGTTACAGCAATCTTATATTTCCCAGTTCAATTTGATATTCTGACAAACAATTTTCCTCTTGTCTTTTGCAGCAACCAATAACAGGAAGCTATCCGCACCCACCGCGCCCGCCATTAATCTGCTAAGCAACAACTCCAGCAACAGCATCATAAACACCACAGCAACCAATACAATGAAACCACCGATTATGCCCGCAAAGCCTAACGAAATTTTATCCTTTCCACAAGTGTCATCAATTGCAGCGACAACGTCTCAACTGCTCGTGCAGCAGCAGCAGCAACAGCATCAGCCGCCGCAGCAACAGCAACCCCAGCAACAGCAACCCCAGCAGCAGCAGCAACAACAACAACAGCCGTCGCAGCCGCAACCGTTAGCAAATAGTGCGCAACGTTATGTGGCACTGCCGCCCATAGATCCCAGCACACAGCAGCTATTCTGTCTGAACAGTGTCTCCAATCAGATAACGGCCATCAGTGCTGGACAAACAGCGGCATCGATTGGGCCTGCGGAGCGACTGTTGATTGCTCCAGCGGGCATCAATGCACAGCAGCTGGCGCAGTGCCTTCAACTGGGTCAGTTGCACTTTAACGATGTGAATCCCTTGCCACCCTCACAGCTACAACTGCAGCAACAACAGCAGCAGACAGCAACAGTAATGACGACGACGGCAACATTGCCAATTCCATTGCGATTGCAGCCGCCACAGCAGCAGATCGTGCATCCCATACAGCCCATTAGCAATGGGCATGGCCTCGGTCTGCCCATCAGCACGACGACAACAACGACGCTAACGACCACCAGCAACACCACAACGAACACCACAACGGTCACCAAACAAGTGGCTAATGTGGCGCCCATCATTGATCAGAGCAAGGCAAAATTGGAGCCTGCGAAATCTACCGGTGCCGGTAGCACAGCAGCCACAGCTGCGAGTACCGGTGCCGTGGCCAAAAAGAAGCCCGTGCGTAAGCCGAAAACAACGCCAACAGCTGCCGAAATGGCAAGCCTAAAGAATGCCAGTGTGGTGAAGCCGATGCCCAAACTGGATCCGCTCTCGCAGAAGCCCAACAATAATCCTGTGCAAATTGTGCAGCCCAATGTGGCGAGCGGCAAGCAGATGATTGTTGTTGTCAGCTCCAGTGGTGGCCAAACAACCACAACAACAACAACGACCATCATGAGCAACAGCATTCAACCCTTCCAGACAACGAGTGGCACCAAGCTGGTGGGCGTTACAGCGCCCATGCAGCAGCAACAACAACTGCAGCAGCAGCAACCACCCGCGACGGCAGCGATTGTACAGTTGCAACAGCAGCAGCATCAGCAGCAGCATCAGCATCAGCAACAACAACAACAGCAGCGCGGCAGCTTCAGCCTAACGGCAACAACATCGGCGCCCAGTGCGGTTGTTAGCAGCGGCAGCAGCAGTGGAGTGACAGCGACGTCTGTTGTCCCACAATTGCAAGGGCCATTGCAGCTACAACAGCAACAGCAACAACAGCATCAGCAACAACAACAGCAGCAGCCAAAACAACAACCGCAACCCGTGCAACAGCAACAGCAGCAACCGCCACAACAAAATACGATTTCGCGGGTTCAAACAATACAGTTAACCCCGCAAATGCAGCAGGTATTCCGGACAGTGCAAATGCAGATACAATTCCTCACCATCAAGCTGCAGAACAAGTCGTTTGTGCCCACGTTGCCTATCTCGCCGGACATTGATCCCGCTGCAATTGCCATGTACAACAAGCCGATGAGCGATGCAGAGATCAATGTGGCATTGCAGCGATTGTTTGCCGAACAGCATCGCATATTGGCGTCTGGTAAGGAGGTGCCAACGCCGGAGGGCATGGTGCCGACTCCCAATGCGAATGGCAGCTTCAGTTTGATGCCGCAACAATTCCAACAAATGCCGCAGCAACCACAACAACAAAATTCTGCAGAAGCACTAAAAGCAACAACAGCTGGTGGTGTTATTTTGGCTAATGTGGTACAGCCAAACAATCATTCCACCACTGGCACTGCATCACCAGCAGCAGCCGTATCAGCTGCAATCAGTGTGCAACAGCAACATCAGCAGCAGCAGCAAAATGTTGCTCAGCGCATCCATATATATCCCATGCAACATCAGCAGCAGCAGCAATTGGCAAACAAGCAAAAGTTGGCGCAGCAGAAACAGCAACAAGCAGCGTCCGCTTGCAACATGCAACAGCAACCAACGTCACAGGCAAAGCTGAAGGAATCAAATTGTCGCAGCAAAGCGAATGCTGTCAACCAACAACAGCAGCAGCAGCAGCAAGCGAGTGCAACTGTCAACATATTGCAGCCAAAAACAAATATGTTGTCCATGCCGCAGCACCAACAACAACAACAGCAGCAGCAGTCGCAGCCACCAGTTTGCATTAAAAACGGACCACCACCGCTCATCTTTGCCAGCTCAACAAATTTGCTATCCAATTGCAACAACAGCAGCAGCAACATCCATAACAACAGCAATATCAGCAATGGCAACATCAGCAACAACAACAGCAGCAGCATGTTACCCATGCCACCATTACAACCGCAACAGTTTCAGCCACCACAACATCAACCACAACAGCAGCAAACACAACAACAGCAAATACATCAACAGCCGCTGCAACAACAGCCACTGCAACAGCAACTTCAAACGCTACCCCCTCCACCACCGATACGACGACCAGCAGCAACAGCAGCAGCAACAACAGTAGTAGCAACGCCAGCATTGAGCAATATAATTGTACCATCACTGCCAGCGTTGCCCGTGTTCTTGCCGTCATTGCCCGTAGCACCCAAGTCGGAGGAGCTGTTGCCAACACCAAAACCAAAAATCGCACGCCTCTCCTTGTGAGTAGTTGGTTGAAAAAAAGCCGATTTTAACGAAATGAGGCCAACTTATATACAATGCGTTCAAATCAAATCGAACAATGAATTAAAATACATTCCATTCGCAGGTTCGTGCGCCAATTGGAGGTCGATCAGGAGAGCTGCCTGAAGCCGGACTATGTGAAGCCATTTCGTACCAAGGACGAGGCGGTCAAACGCCTTATCAGGTAAGTTTCAAAAGCATTTGTCATTTGTCAATAATAGTAGTTGATATAATTATTGGCTTCCTATTGACAGATATCATTGTATGCATGAGAACGATACAGAGCCGCACTCCGATGAGGATGAAGAGTTTGAATCAACGGCACTGGGCTTTCGTGATAAGTTCCTTCAGCTAAGTGGTAAATTCCAGGAGATTTTGCTGCAAGAGTCAACTGTAAGTATTTCAGATAGCAACAAGACTTAGCAATTATTTGATGTATTTGCTTTTTTTGCAGTTGCCGCATCGTACGTCGGAGCTGCTACAAATGCAGCAGCTGATGATTGACGACCTCAAGGGCGAGATCAGCGATATACGCTGCGCTGAAAAGGAGCTGCTGGAGAAACAACAGCAGCAGCAGCAGCTCAAAGAGGAGCAAAGTTTCGAGCCATCAACTGAGATCGTTGCGGAATCATTGGACACCAAAGTGAAGGAGGAAATCAAAATGGAACCACTCGAAAGAGTTTCGGAATCGGCAGCGCACTCAGCTGAAGTGGTCGACAAATTTGATTTGCTCAAAAATAGTGCCGATGTGAATAAGGCTTACAACAAACAGCAGCAGCAGCAGCAACCACAACAGACGCCACAGCAGCAACAACAGTCACAACAGCAGCAAGTGGTCAAGCGGGAAGACAATGGCGAATGGCTTGACAATGCTAATCAGGCATTGACCGACACTGTGAAAAAGGAGCAGCTCAACAGCTCCAAGGACAACGGCGAGTATATCAAAAAGGACTACGATTTTGATATCGAGTCGGAGCTGACGCCCAGTTTTATCATGAAGAAGGTGGAGCAGAAAATGCAGTCAGAAAATACTAAGAATGCTGAGAACTGTTATTCGAACAGTACAATGCAGGAACAGCAACAACAGCAGCTGCAGCAGCAACAACAACATCACCAGCAGCAGCACCTGCAGCAGCAGCAACCACAGCAGCACCACCAACAACAGCAACAACATGCTAAAAACAATAGTTTAGCCCATGAAGATCACGAGGATGGTTGGTACTGCCTGCAGAAGGAGCTGAATCTAATGAGCAATGAGCCAGTGCAACCACAGCAGCAGCAGCAACACTTGTCTCAGCAACATCTGTATGACAACAATGCTGGCAGTATGCTCAACAATGGCAATCATTTGTCTGATCTGTTTCCCAATGGCTGCATCGATAAGAGCAATCAGAGCAACAGCAATAGCAGCAGTAATAGCAGCACCAGCAGCTGTGCGGGCGATGTTGTCAACAGCAGCACCAATGCCGGTAACAACAACAACAACAATAACAACAACGTACCCATTGGCAATTCGTCGTGCAGCCAACAGCGCCAACAGCCTCTGGCAATGCAAGCGGATCAACCGAATCATCATCCGGCTATTAGTGAGTTCTTTAACAGCGATTCGGATGTGCAAAAGTCTGTGGAGACGCGACTGGAGGCCATGTTTGGGGAGTCGCCGGTGCATTTGGATGTGAAGAATAGCAGTGATGAGCACGATATTGAATCCAATCTGGATGAGATTTTCGGTGATTCAAAATCGCCAGTGGCGACTCACAAAAACAAACTAAACATCTGGGCGCCGGATACGGGTTTCAATGCCAGCTACAGCAGCGAACAGCAACAGCAATCGTTTGCACACCAGCAACAGCAGCAGCAACAACAACATCACATTGAGCTCAACTGCAATAACAATCCACGCTGGATGCAAAGCATGGAAGCCCACTATAGCGACTACATGTCCAGCAGCACAAGCACTGTTGATGGCCAATCCCACAATCTGCTGGTCAATGGCGAGTCACGGAAGCGTCATTGGAATGGCCAGATTATGGGTTCGAGCAGTGACCTTGAGGATGAGAATAGCAGCAAGCGTCTGTGCACTACCTCGTCGACATCATCGTCACCGATGTCCACGCAGCAGCATGTCCAGGTGGCGCAGCATGGTATATTGGATGCGGACATGCTGGCGATGCACGATGGCATGGATGCTGTCGCTACTAATGGTCCCGCTGCCTTCTCGCAATTGCTCATGAACGACCAGCAGCAGCAGCAACAACAACAACAGCAGCAACAGCAGCAGCAACAACAACATAGCTTTACCAATCATCAAGCCTTTGCCAATATGTTGGATCCACAGCAGCAACAGCAACAACAGCAGCAGCAGCAGCAGCACTATCAGCACAGTATGCAACCGCAACTGCAACAGCCGCAACAGGCGCAGTTGCATGTGAATCATATGGGCGCTTCTGTGGTTACTGGTGAATACGATGATGATATCAGTCGGCATGTGGCCAGTGCCATTGACAGCATCCTGAATCTGCAGAATAGCGGCGATTCGTTGCAATTCTCGCTGGGCTCGTTTTTGGGCGACAGCATGCTGGACGATCAGCGACAAGCGGCTAATTTGCCCAGCTGCCAGCAGGAGCAGGCGAACAGTAGGCGACGTCAGCTGGGCGAGGATATGGGCGATTGTCTCATCAGCGGTGGTGCTGGATCAGCTGTGAGCGCAGTGGCCGATGGCAGTGGTAATCTGTTGATGGATCACCAACAACACCAACATCATCAGCAACATCAGCAGCAGCAGCAGCAGCTATTGCAGAATCACTTGGTGGGTCAGCAGCAGCAGCAACAGCAGCCGCCGCATATGCAGCATCATGCGCAGCATCATCACGGCATGCCGCAGGCACAGCAACAGCATCACGCGCAGCTAAATGATTTTAGCTGTGTGGCCGCTGGCCTCGATGATGCGGTTAAGTCGATAATGACCTCTTGACTTGGACTTGGTCTGCAAGCAGGAGCGGCACAAGCGACAGCAGCTGTCGAGCTGCCGCCGGCGGCAACGGCCACAGTTGCCAACAGTCTGATACTGGAATTTAACGCGACCACCTTGTGAAGAACTGCCCCAGGCAGCAACAACAACAAGAACAACGCATTGATTGTATAGTTTATAAAAACCAACCCGTTGCATGTTATTAGTTCTCTTTAGTTGTTGTCCACTGTGCCGAATTTGTTAAGTTCAATCAGTTGACAATATTTGCACCCTGCTCTGTACAATTATTTCTTCATTTTAGATCTAAGTTGAAAGAGTAGCGTAAATTGTTTTAAATCTTGTTTTCGTTTTTAGTCCAATGTGTTTGTACAATATTTTTAAAAAGAACAAAAAACAAAAACAAAAAAAATAAGAAATGGAAGAAGTGAAAAGAAAATCAGCCTGGTAATTATTTGTGTAAATTAATAGTCACACATCCGATCGGAGAGCATTGTAAGGAATAACAAAAGTCCTTAAAAGTCAATATAAAAGCAATTAAACGCGGAGAATTGAAAACAATACGACGAATAGCATGAAATGCTTCTTAGAGAAGTACACTTTATGAATTCTAATGTAATACAAATTATATAGATACAATAAATAAGTGAAAAATGCCTAGACAATTTATTAAAATTATATATAAAACTATGAAAAGAGCGTACACCAAGCAGAGAAACAAACGTAACAAAAATAAATCGATTCTCCGGCAAGCCGTAGATTAAATACCTTTGCAGATAAATATTAAGAAAAGTGTTTATTTTGTAATTTCATTATAAAATAGTCCGATTCATTCAAAATCACACTAATGATCCGCTGCATTAGTGTCATCTAAATAGCTTTAAAAATGACAAAAAGGGATCGGATGTGATCCCCATTGCAAATCGATTTCCATCTTTTGACAAAATTAAGAAACTTTCGCTCTGCAACAATATGATAACAGAACAAATGATAATGATTGGTTGTATAATTCACAGTTAAGTATGTTGGCACAAAGGATCCAGCTGAGAGCATTCAAAATTCGTAATTAGTTTTATGATGATAAAGAGAAGAAAACAATTGTAACAACGTTGCCAATTTTGTTGAAATGAGAACGGAAGTAATCCAACCACAAAAAATCTATATACATTACAAACATATATGTAAACAAAGAAATATATATATATATATATTATTATTATTATTATTAAATTATTTATTATTAAGCATTTGTATATATTTATGTATACATATTTATGTAAAGCATGCGCCAGTTTCAACAATCGCAGGTTTTAATACAAAACTAAAGGATTTGCTCTTAGTGTAACAGAAAGCATGCAGAAATACGTAAAACAAAATAAAATTAAATAAAATAATTTGATAAATCGAAGCTAAGCTATTTAAATTATTATTTACAAAGCGCTTAAGGTCTATCTGCTTTTGAGCTAACACACAGAAGAATGAATATATGCATGCATAAATAATTCGAATAACCAATGTGCTCAATTTAAACTAGAAAGCTGTAAGCCAAGTTCCAACTTGACTTTGACTACGGGTGTGACATCATCATCAACAAAAAGAGTCTTTTGGAGTTGCAAATGAGCCGACTCCGAAAAAAGACATAAAGACGACAAACGACGAAGCAAACCAAAAGCAGTTCAAAAGAAAATTCACAATTTTAGCAAATTTAGTTTAAACATTTATATATTATGAAATACATATATAATAATGAATACGTACATAAATGTATGTATATTGTACATGCAACAAAAACAAATGAAATGCAAATGAAAACGAATCGTATCATTGTATCTTGATCTTGATCTTGCCACAAATCTGATTTGTGATTTGTGCCACGTTTTAAATATCGATGTCTGATTAGCTTGTAACACAATACAGATACATGAATCCATAATCCGTAAGCTACGAACTACCAACTTAATCCAAATATTGTAAATGTTAGAAAGCCGGTCATAAGATTCACACCACAAACAAAGTTCGACTTGATTACTTAGTCGTCCGTATCACGTATTAATGCATACCAATTACAATAAATATTACTACTACTACTTAAAAAAAAAAAAAATGAATGAAAAAAACAACAGCAACAAAAACCACATAAACAAGAAACAACAACAAACTAATACAAATCATACTTAAAGAAAAAGTATGGTATGTGACTAAGTGACGTATTCGTGCTACATGTAGTTTTTAAGTACATCAATTTCAGATGGTACCGGTACCATTAGATCGTATATATGTATTACTATATCCGAGTTCAATTCGTGTAGATTTCGACTCATGCCCGATTCTCTGTATTGATTTCGAATACAGATGCGCACGCAACACTTTCTAGTTGTTATACAAAGACAAATAATGAAACACTTGTGTAAAAATTTATATGTAATAGCATAAATTAAGTTAGTCAAGGAGAATTGCATTCGATTATATAGCTGCCGATGGAAACAAAAATGCAAACAGAACTTATCACTCGCTAGGAGCCCAATTCAATTAATGATCGATTAAATGCTATAATTTTTAACTTTATATATATACACATTGTTTCAATTTGTATTCTAAAACTAAGCGGTTACTCGATATCGGCTTCAACAGAAACTCTTTCCCTGAAAACCAAAAAAAAAAAACAAAAAAAATATATATAAAAAAAAAACGAAAACGAAAAAAAAAATACAAAAACAAAACCCAATATCGTAATATAAATTGTTCAGCTAAATGTGTCTAAATGTAATTTAATGAGAAACAAAATCGAAAACAAAACAAAGATTTTTAATGCAACATTGTGAGTTTTAATTACAGCATCAACTTAAATGAGAAATCAATCAAGTTTAATCTTTCATAGTTTATTAAGCGCATCCATTCATAGTCGTCATAAGCATTAAGTAAATAAAACAAACTTATATCGTATTAAAAACGCAACAGATAACAACAAGAACCCGAATTGAAACATAAACGAAACTTAAAAAGAAAAAAATCAAACAAAAAACCAACAAAGATGCAATTAAATTAAATGCATGTCGTTGGGTGCAAGTGCAAATAGTACACAAAAAAATTGAAAAATACGTATTCATAAGAATAAACAAGATTCAGACAATTTTAAATTACGAGTCTTTTATTATCCGCCATGTGCAAGTGGCAATTTTCAGATTTATCGACGTAAGTACAGAGATACTTACAATATCAAGCATTTTATTTAATCAATACCCTTTTTTTCTGTTGTTATTTATTTTGTTAAAAACCGGACTACATTTTTTTTTTGTTGGCTTTTACAAATCGAATACCATATGGGAATTTACATAAACATGTACTAAGTACCTACCAGTTAAATATTGCTATAATTATCAACATTGCGGCAGTTGGTGTGCAACATTGTTTTCGGTGCTAACGACAATTAAATAAATAAATAATAATAATAATAATAATGTGGTAACTCAGTACGAATATCACACAAATCTTGATTACATATTGGCCAAGTGCATTTATCTATGTTTTGCATCCTAAGCTTGGCATTGTATTTGGCATTTGCGCTTCACTACGACTAAGAGAGTACTGCCAAATTGCCACAGTTTTTGAGGGTTTTCATCATAGACTTATGGACTATCTTAGATGGTATTGATGCAGCAAATGTGGTCGCGTTTGTTTTTAAAGCTAGTTCTCGTACACGGGCAGTGGATGACCCTCCGAGTTGAAGACCCATTTGTCCAGGTCGATCTCCTTGCGATTGTCACTGAACAGCAAATAGAAATATTTCAAGGTCTCGCTCATCCAGAAGCTCTCCATGAGATCGCGCATTGGTGTGTTCAGCGTGTTCTTCACATTGCCCAGGGATGTGTAGCCGGCGGCTACCTTTGAGTGCTTCTCGAATGCCTGGAATATGTTCCAGCCCATATCCTGATAAGTGCGATTGCCAGTAAGCGCATAGAAATAGTAAAGACTCTCAATAAACTCGGGTCGCAGCAAATTGTGTGCATCGTTCGGCTTCACATAAATATCATTCTCGTCCTTCTCGTTCAGTGCAAAATATGATATCTCCGCTGCCAATTGAGTGGGTTGTCTGATGTACGTCTGATAGCAGGTGTCCATCATATCTCTGGCGAGCATCAGATGCGAATCGGGCATACCATTCTGATGGCCCAGCAACAGGGTGCCGGGCAAATAGCACGTCAGATGATCCATTTTCGGCTTAAAATCGTGTCCATTTATCAGCTCCCCAATATAGACCCATTTTTCGCGTGGCGTGCGTCGCATCAATTGCGTGAGGACGCCATCGATTGCTTGCATGTAGTCCAGTATAAGACTATTGAATTATGGTTGTTGGATTAAAAATAAATATGATATTTACTGAATTTATGGCAAATTTACTTGTCGTTATCCTTGCGACCGGTTTGGAGCCATTGCTTAAGTAAGTACTCGTAATATGAATCGCCACGTGCGCCCAGCGAGATGGTGGCATAATTACGAAAGGTGCCCGTATTGGCATTTATAAATATTGGCACCAGGCCATGACTCTTATCCAGCGCATGAATCTTCTCGTTTACCACGTTCACCACCTGAAATGCAAATACGATTACCGATACTTCAATAACAATATTAATAATAATAAAAACTTACACGCTCATAAATAGGAACATTTGTGGAGCGGCTGAGATCACGAAACTCCAATTGTATGGTTGTCACTTCGCTAGTTGAGCTGTCCGGTGACCATTTGGGCGAATGCGCAGATCTCTCACCCAAGTTCACATCCGAATAGGGTATGCCCGATGGTGAGAGGAAACTGGGCAGCAAGCGATTGCCCAGCTCAGATGCTTTAACCAAAAACATTCTATCGCCGCTCAAATGATAGGCGGACAGAAGACCACCAAGCACCCGAATGGTCACCTCAAAGAGATTCACATCTCGATTGGTATGGAAGTGCAACGAATTCGCCACCCAATCGCGTGCCTCATTAAACTCTGAGAAGCAGAATAAGTTAATAATTTCACAAACTAGCCACACACACACACACTTACCGTCTTCTAATCCCATTATGTACATTGTGTCCAGAGAGTCCACTATTGAGAGTCCGAGGCCAAACCACTCGTGGGAGCCTTGCGAGACGGGCTTTAGATTGTCATGGCCCCAGGCGTACTTCTTGTAACCGGCCCAGGAGTGCCTGAAGGCGGCCACAACTGCAGCCTGGCGCTCATTGGTAGCCCCATGGAAATGCTGGGCCTTTGCCAGCTGTGATTCCATCTGCAGCAGATGCTGCTTTATGTCGACATTTGCCAATTTGCTGGGCTGTCGAATGGCCTCCTCCAGTTCGTCACGTATACTCGAGGGTTCATCGAGAGCCAGCGAGGATTGCTGCTCAAGGGTCTGTTCCACGTTGTTGACAATGTCGATTAGTCCATTGCCATTCTCATTGAGAGAGTGAACCGTTTCGGGCAGATTAACAACGTTCTCCGCTGAGTTCGTTTCCATCGGATAGTCCATAGTACCATCAAACTGCAATGAAAAAAACATGTTGAGTTTACAAGCCAAATTGGCCATTAAACTAATACAAGTATTTCCTCGTCACCCTTATCAGTTCCCACCGGGACTGTGTTAATGAAAAGTTATTTTGAGTGGGCCACACCCCCAAACTGAGGTACAGGTGAAATACATAAACTCATTTACTGATAAGCGACTACAGCTGATTGGCTTCTTATGAACTAAATTGATTGATTGTCAGACGACTTTTTACGCTACCTTATCAATTGCCGGCTTTGCCTTAATCGGGTGGCTTCCAACCGTCATTGGCGATGCGACCGCTGCCGAAATATCGCCGGGTAATTCGTTGATAAGACTGCTGCCATCCTTGCTTTGCGCACTGTGCGGATGGTGATGCGGATTCTGTAGGGTATTCTCTCGCCGTATATGGAATGGAGCTGCTCCCGGCTTCAGATGGACATCCTTTATGTTGATCAGCTGATCGCCGGGCAGAAAGAGCAGCGCCGTAAAACAGAATGCCGTCAAGCCCATTATAATCAGATTGCGTTGACAACGGGGCAGCTGATTCCACGACTATTAACAAGTTTCACATGCGAACAGAAACCAAAAACAATTAATAATTAACAAACAGACACGTAGACTTTTTTTCACTAACAAATGCTTAAATTATAATCTTCAAGTTACTCACACACAGGAGAATAATGCAATGCAGTTCGCATAGGAAATAAACTGCTTGATTGGCTTTAATAATTCGGAAATCCATATTTTGTTGAAAATATTTTATTTAAATGAAGCATCATTACGTGCATGATTGTCAAACTTTATTTCCAAGCCAAATACATACTTTGTTTATCAAAATAAAATAAAAACAAGAGAAAGAAAAAGGAAAATTGCTTCACTTACTCGTCGCAGACTCTTGCGGGAAAGTGAAAGATTGCCGTCATCGCTGGGCACGCCTCCCGTTATTGAGGTGGAGGCTAGTGTCAGAGCAACGTGATCGGTATTTGTCATGGTAATCTAATCTATTTAATTCTACTGCTGAGATTGCTCAATCGCGACGAGGAGGAAGAGAGAAAAGATGCAGCCACATTCGTTTTAGATTCTCGCCTCGGATCGAAAAAAATCGATGGTTGCTAGCTGAGCAGCGTTCCGCTGTCGCTGTCATAGACTACTCAACGCACAAACCAATACTGGGACTCAGTTCCTCACATTGCTGGCTTTATGACTTTTGTTGACGACAAGTATTGTAACTATCAACAATTTGCATTTCCTCAGCGCTTTTCCTGTCGAAAATTTCTACTTTTTATGGAACTAAAGAGATTTAGCCAACACTACCACTCTGCCTGCACATACAGCTCTGGGCACCCAAAAATTTTTTAACATTTGCTGTTGTGTTATTAGCGTGCACTGATTTAGTCCTGCATCAAATTCAGTTACACATTTCTGAGTTTCAAATAAAAAATCAAAAACCATATGCACGGGGTGTTAACAGATAAGAAAAATCTGAACCACTTCAACTAATTGTCTCTAATTATGATAACAATTAATTGCCTCATATAAATAAAAACGTTCCAAAACTTGTCACAATAGAACAGCTGTCGCTTAACATTTCTGTTGTTTAATGGGTTAAATTTCTATAAAAGAGTGAGCATTCGACTCAAGGCAGTAAGTGTGGCCGTATTTAGTGAACTTCGTGGCCTTATCGATTACAATAAAATAATCGGTTAAAGTTTGGCGGCATATTCGAACACGAAGTACAATATTCAAAAAGTGAAAGCATGTTTCAGAAACAGCTGAAATATGAAATGCAACTAAAAATTAAAAATTAAAATAATTTATTTGGCTTGTGCATATTTGAGATGGTTTCTACAAAAATGATTGTTGCTTATTGCGCTTATTATTTCCATTTATTAAATTGTTAAGTTTGCGGAAGTGGAAAACTGTAATGTAATCGTTCGAATTGATGAATTGTGAAATGTCGCACTAGTTTTGTGCTATTTATAAAAAAAAAAACTTTCCGATAAGGCTTGTCTCTTTCGGACATCAGCAGCAATTATCTGTGACTGGATGGGTATCAAAGACTGTTTTATTTTAAAGCATTCATATATTCAAGCAAATACATCTGTGTGGGGTTGACAATCTGGCAAGGGCGAGGTCATTCCCGAATTTGTGATTATAATGGGTATAAGCAATACGCCAGGCCACTAAACTTTAATAATGCTATACATATGCATTGAGTATTATTGTTTACATATTCATTTCACCTATTTCGGCTTAATATGTTTCGTCTATCGTCATTAAAACAGACTTATCACTTATTGGAAATGTTATACATATGAATAAAAAATCTATTTAAATGCCATCCTATGTTTTTGAAATGTATATGTTGAAATATATATGTAGTTACTGCCTGCCTAGTCTGTATTTGAGCTTATCGCTGAACTCTTGACACATTTCAAGCTGTCGAGCATGAGAGCAGAGCGGACTCTGCGCTGCTCCGGGAATCAGCTATAAATATAGGCAACATTAACGTAGGCAATTTAGTTAAAATCTTTTGCTGTGACTCGAAGGTATTAAAAATGTTCAAGTATCTAATCGTTTGCCTGGCGCTCTGCTCCTTGGTTAGTAAATAAATTGAATAATAGTTTCAATAGTTCATTAGCCTAAAAGCCTCAACTCTGATTAATCAAACACAGGTCGCTGCTGATGGACCTTGGGTGTCGAAGACGGCCGATGAGATCAAGCAAATACGCGTTGAGTGTTTGACGGAGCATCCTCTGAGCGCCGAGCAGATCTCCAAACTGAAGAACTTGGAGTTCCCCGATGAGAGCGAAGTGCGTCAGTATCTGCTGTGCACAGCCTTGAAGCTGGACATCTTCTGCACCCATGAGGGCTATCATGCGGATCGCCTGGCCAAGCAGTTCAAGATGGATCTCAGCGAGGAGGAGGCGCTGGTGATTGCCCAGGGCTGCATTGACAACAACGAGCAGAAGAGTCCTGCAGACGAGTGGGCCTTCCGAGGACACAAGTGCATGATGGCCAGCAAGATCGGGGAGCGGGTCAGAGCCTATATCAGGGCCAAGCAGGCGGAGGCAGCTGCAAAGGCTTAATAACTCAATAAATGTGTGTTTTGAGCTTGAACGCAAACTTGTTGACGGAAAATTTATTATTATTATTATTATAATATGTTATTTTCAAAGGGCAACAGAATTCGACTAGTAAATTGTGTGCATTGAACTATGTTTTTATGTTTTGCTGTGTGGCTATTGAGCAAGCGATTCTCTAAGAGATTTAGGCGTCGCCACCCTCGGATATGGTCTTCATAGCGGCATTAATATGCTCCTCCAGCGGCTGGGTGCTGTCCAGCGCCGGGTTGCGGAAACTCTCCAGGAAATAGCAGGTGCCATTGCCATTCGAATTGGGGAACTCCTTGGGCAAGCAGGATGGATCGCGTGGCTGCAGATCAAAGGCAAAACCTTCGTGCTTGGTTAGCCAACTGCAAAGATAAATAAATACTTAGTCAAAGAAGCAAAAGGCAATCAAATTTCACTTAATTTTTGCAAATCAGAAATTACTCAAAAATGTGTAAACAATTTAGAAGTAAATTTAGAGAACATCAGCTGAAATTGAAATGAGTGGGCAATTGATTTTATCTGATTCTCGTTTTAGAATGATTATTTTATATTTAAGTTAAATTTTACTTGACTTAATTGCATTTTTTGAAAGCCTTTTAAAGACGTATTTAAAATACTTGAATTTAGATCTTGACAATCATTATTTTTGCGCACTTTCTTTCTATAATTTTTTTTTTGAGTTAGATATTTAAGATTATAAAGTTAGTTTTCTACGATTTTTTTTTGATAAGATTTTAGAACGTTTTTCTGCGGTTTTTTGAGCGCAACTTACTTTTTAGTTGTGGGACTGACATTGATCTTCAGGGCTTCGCTGCCCGACTCGAACTTGTTGGCGATGGTCACGTTGTGGCCAAAGAGACAGTATCTGGGCATCTTGCGACCGACGACACCCGCTAGCACTGTGCCCGTGTGGAGGCCAATGCGCATTTTAATTTGTTCGCCGTCGTGAGTGATGCGCTTCGAGCATGCGCTGAGCATCTTGAGGGCCATCCAGGCGACCTTGTGGGCATCGTAGATGGAGGCACGATGCAATCCGCTGGCCACGCAGTAAGCATCACCAATGGTCTCCACCTTGTAGACGTCAAAGAAGTCGCAGAACTCATCAAAGTCCTTGTACAGGCCTTCCAGCATGCTGATGACCATAAACGGAGTGGCCCGGGAGCAAATGTTGGTGAAGCCGACAATATCGCTGAACAGTATTGTCACATCCGGATAGGTCTTGGCATCGATGGACGAGCCCAGCCACAATTTCTCGGCTATCTCAGCCGGAAAGATCAAATGCAAGAGGCTGACGTTCTTCTTGCGCTCCTTGGTAACCGCCGAATTGGCCTCTTCAATGCTGCTCTTCAGCTTATCCATGCGCCGACGTAGGCCATCCTGAGCACGTGCCTGCTCACCCACCAGGATCACCTCGCGCGTTGCATCGTGCAAGGGAATGTCAGAGATGAAAAGCCCATTACATGTCAAACCATCCAAACCATCCAAAAATGGCGAACCAATGAATAGCAAGGAATTCGATTCCGGGCAGTGCACCATTTGACCCTTGATCTCAAGTCCAATGGCCGGGAAATCGGATACGCCTGGCGGGCTATTAAGGCCAATCAGAAAGGGTGTGTAGGTGCGACGGACAATGTCGCGAAACTTCATGGTCAATCCCTTGGGGCGCTTAAAATCAAAATAGGTGCTAGCCAGGCAGCCAAAGTCCGCTAGATAAGGCTTGTAGAGCTTGCTAAAGCCACGTCCCAGCTGCACTAGTTCCAGCTGCTCGTTCATAATGAAATGCCAGGGAAACATCTTGCAGAAACTGGCCGAATTCATTTGCAGATCCGAGGCATTAGCCGAATTGCTGCGTTGCATCGTCTCCGGCTGCTTGGCGGCGACACCCGGACGACCTAACTGCAGAGTCTGGGAGCTGTCCTTCACCAGCGAGAACAAATAACGATAGCGACGTGCATCACCCTCGACGGGCTCGATTTTGATATTCACATCGACCTTGTAGAGCATGCGAGTGAGTGCCTTGAGGGAGCCGAGCAGAAGCCAGGCTATAACTGGACGCTCCGACGTGAAGATCAGTTCACCATCGCCGGCACACACAAAGCCCGTATCGGTCACATCGTCCTGGGTACGTAAATGTTAATTAAAAATTTCATTTATTTGAGGATCGTCAATCATCATTCACCTCCTGCAATTTAAGCACATCGTATACACCGTCCAGGGAGCCGAGAAACTCCTGTAGATCGGTGCCCAGGCAGCGAAAGGCTCGCTCAATAATCCCAGTGCAGCAGCATGTGATCAGCTCCTCGCCCAGCAGCACAAGGATTTCACTGGCACTGGCCTCGTCCATTTTCAGTAGTAGATCTTGAATGTCCGCCAGATAGTCGTAGTTGGCACATGATTTAAAGAACTTTGGATCCAGTTTACTGAGTGTTAAATGCATTCATATTAATTTCCAAAAGCAGCAACTGCTTATCCCCTTCGTTACTTACAGCTTGTGGATGTTGGGCCAGCTCTGGCGATACTTGGCCACCAGTGAGGTGACGGCTGTATTGAGATCCTCATTCGATGGGGCCGTCAGCAGCTGTATGGCCATCTGCAGATGGGTCAGAGTCAGTGCATCATCCGCCAGAGATAACTCCTCATCCTCCAGATTCCATTGGGCACCCGGCTCCACTGTGACCGATGGCTGACGCACCAGCGAGTCGGCCCGACGAAAGAAAGGACACGCCATGTTGCGTGCAATCGCCAATTGATAGCTGTCTCAGAGAATGATGAATTGAGTGCTAGTCGAACCTATTAAGGTAATGGAAAGTTCGATTATAGTGATGAACCATGCAACATTCATTTTACTATAATAAAATGGAACACTTGATATGAATATGTATGTATATAGTTAGTTATAGAAGTTGTAGGTGTGTTTTATTTATTCACATTTGGACGATTTCAATTTAAACCACAACACAGAACGATTTTAAATAGTCACATTTGCATTAGCCCAAAAGCGTGGATAACAAATTTTTTTTAATGATACAATTCTAACTCAAGCATAAGTGTCATAGGCAGTTGCACAAGTTGTACAAGGACACAAAAAAAGTTACAATTAAGCAAATAAAGATATAATATGATCAATCTATACCGTTTAGATCGCATGAGCACACACCAGTGAAAGGTTGCTGCATTGACTAAGTTGGCATCAATAAAAGATGAAGCATACTTCAAGGGGCATATCTTAAAGATTTTTCGAAAGCTTCGATCATTTGGAATCGCAAGGACTGCATTCACGAATTGGGATCTTCACAAATTAGTTTTCATTAATAGCTGGATCACGAATTGTTTTTTTGGCCACTGCCTTTTTTATCTGTTTACAATCATGAATTCATCAATGTAATTCAATAAAATGGGGTGACTCTGTACTGCGTACGTTCATATGTGTATATGTATTGTATTGGAATTTGTGCTTTCAGCCTGCTAATGATGTCAGCGTTGAATGCAATGCAAAATCTGTTCAAGTTCAACGTGCACTTATGTATATATGTATATATCAATGTGGGTTGTCCGCCTGCCTGTTACTGTGACTGTTGTTGTTGTTGTGTACGTGTGTGTGTGTGACACCACCCAGTGGCCCAGAAAAGCATGGCCTCTACTCATTTCTTGAGTGGCTGCAGGATTTGATGTCTCGCCCACGTCCCCGGAGGTCGACGAATGTGTACACTTAGCATGTGCCAAGGCTTGTATTTACTTTCATTATGGAAATTAGCATTAGCTTTAATTTATTACTTGTTAGACAAGTGCTCTTTTTAAGTCACTCCCTTCTCCAGCTAGCTTGTAATTAAAACCACTCAATTGCTCAAATAATTCTTATTGCTTTCAAGATGTACGGAGAAAAATAAAACAAACCTTTTGCAATTGCTTATAATTATTTATGATCAAAAGAAATATCGGAACTCACTAAAACAAATTGAGAATTTTTATTTATGATTATTGCAATTTTTCACAAAAAGTAAAAATATTGTATAGTTAGCGGAGAACCACACTGAATTGTAAATGTCTTAATAAATGATATCCTAGTTTGCTTTGAGAAAAAGTGTTCAACAACGAGAACAGCCCCTCACAATGGATACACAATTTTTCAGCAAGGGGCAACAACTTTTGCCTTGCACTAACATCAACATTTTAACTGGTTCTTTATATGTTTTTTTTTATTTTCTAGCAAGTTTTTCTTACAATATTTAGTACATTTTTCTTACTTTTGTTTCTATGTTAATTATATGAATTTATTAAATTTTTCCGGAGCAAACTTAATATTTTGCACGCCTGAAAAATGCCACAACTTAAAACGTAATAAGCTTTGACCAAATCGAAACAGAAAAAGCTTGACGAGAGCTTAAAGCTTATGTATTGCAGTGAAAGTGTGCAGAAATTGTTGCATTGTTTTGAATTCGCTATCAGTAACTGAGTGAAAGAATGAATGAGTGAGAGAGGGAGAGAGAGAGAGCGCTACAACATGCTAATTTGACTTGAGCGAGTGTGCGCATGACTTTCTCCGAACGTATAGACTAGCAAAGCTCAAATGAGTGCTTATATGCCCTACGCTGTAGCGCATTGTTACACGCAATTAACCTGTTGCGGGAGAACGAACCCTTACGGTAATTGCCACTCTCATTCGCTCTCTCTTTATTAGTCTCTCATTTTATATTGTATGTGTGCTTTTTGGCGGTCTTGCTCTCCGCATAGGTGAAATGCATGTGAGAAAGGTAAAGACAATAAAAACAAGCAAGCTTGCTTGCAGTTGTTTGTGTATCTGGCAGAATGCTGCTTATGCTGCACATGGCTCTCTACAGCGCAAGGTGGAGCGATGGGGTGCGAGGTAGAGAGGGGCAATCGCAATCAAAGTCGGGGCCGGCCTAGTGTCCAGCGAGCAAGCAAGCAAGGCAGCCTAGCAGAAATTTATACGCTTCAAAATCAGTATATTGGCGTTGGTCAAAAAGTGCGCAACGTGTTTGCCTGTGTGTGTGTTCCGCCGGGTGTACAGTTTGTTTTTTTTTAGTTTTTTGGGGTGTTTGTTTCTGTCTGTCGGCTCCATCGTGCGAAACGGCAGCTTGTTGGAGCAACCGCAATTAAAAGTCCAAACGCTAATTTGAACACCACAGAATGCAGGCCGTAAGTGATTTTTATTTTTTAACTAAAATGTATACACAGCATTCCATGCACTTGCATAAATATATACAGATTTGTGTGTATATATAGGAATCTTACAGCAATGCGATATTCTCCGTCTGCCTTGTTTGCTCAGCTTTGTGTTTCATTCCATTAGCGTCGCTGTTAATTTTTTATTTTTGTGAACACAAATGATTTTGTGAGCGTGCGTATGTGCGTGTGTGTGAGTGCTGCATACGCTTTGTGCATGGCGGATGCTTTATCTAACAGCAATAACAACAACAACAGCACACAAAATGTAAAAAGAGTGTGGAGCTTTTGTCCTTGACCTTGCACACTACATCTCCCGTGCTCACTTCTCTCTCTGTCTCTCCCTCTCTCTTATACACACTCTCTTGCTGCCAAAAGCTCATAAAATAAAAGTGAAAGTGTCCAGTTCTTTTATTGCAAAAGCATATTATGCAAAATGTATAAAATACGAATGTGGACGGAGTTGCCAGCTCGTTAATCTTTAATCTAATCATCTGAAATATGGCTACCGCATGTTGAAGCCTTATCGCTGCTGGTTTATTTAAGGTTCCATCGTCCATTGATTAACTCTAATCGTTTAATATACATTTCTGTTTTAATTTACCTACTTATATTTTAGGCCACATCCCATGTTTTGAAACTATTGCCGTTTTTCTCAAGTGTGCTGCTCTACTTTGCTCTGGTTCGTGAAGATCCACAGGGTGAACTATGGACCACATGCCTCAAGTGTCTGCCAATTGTGTCATTGATGATTTATGTCCTGATTAAAGGATTCTCCTTTAATAATGAGTAAGATCGTATTTATTTTCAACTTTGTCGTTTGTACAATATCATGTATATTTTTAGCTATCTTCGCTCAAGGTGGATCTTGCTGGGTTTGCTCTTCTCCTGCGGCGGAGATGCATTGCTCAATATTAATTTATTTTCCTGGGGAATGATATCCTTCGGCGTGGCGCACACCTTCTATGTAAGCGCATTTGGCTGGCATCCACTCAAGTGGCTAATTGGATTAAGCCTTTATATACCCGTAGTGATCTGTGAGTGAATCCGATGCTTAAATTTGCGTATTTTTAATAATATATTCGCTTTTCAGTTGTTGTTTTCGTGCACAAGCATTTGGATGAGGTGCTTGTGATTGGTGTGCCTATCTACTGTGTGCTCATCACGACCATGTTGTGGCGCTCTGTGGCACGTGCCGTTGATTCAAAGAATTTCCTCACGATCTTCTGTGCTGTGGGCGCTGGTCTGTTTGTCATATCCGATGCACTAATCGCTGTAACGATGTTCTTGAATGTTGACTTGCCGTGCCCCCGATTGCAGATCATGATAACGTATTATGCGGCACAGTTCGCGATTGCATTGAGCACTGCGGATGATGGACCGGAGCCCAAACGTAAGAATAAAATCAAATAATGCAGTTAATTGCTCAAATATATCATATATGTATAACACAACCACCAATATATGTACTTCCAAAAAGAAAATAGCGTAATAATAGTTCAAGCCATTTAGTTGTGATAGTAATTGTTTGTTAATAATAAAATGCCAATGTTACATGAAATTCACAATTTAATGGAAATTTAATTTGTCTAATTACAGTGCAGTAAATGCTGACAGAACTACGAAGCGCTAATAAGCGATATATTTATGATAGCAATTATTATTTCCATAAATAAAGATCAAATTTAAACTTCTAATCAGACAATGCTATACAATTGCTTGCTTTGTGCTTAAACCTAGCAGTCTTTTAATAGTGAGTTTCATATCAGTCAGAGTTTTGTAGCGCTCTGCGCAACAGAGTTGCTTGCGACAATTTGGGTGACCATGCTAAGCATTTATTCAACGTTTTTATGCGGCTTGGTTTATTAACGCTTTGGAACAGCGACCACAGTTTGTAATTTGTTACTTGTCTGTTAAATCAAACATAAATGGGCCCGTCTGAGTTTAAATTGAACAATCCGCCCGAGGATCTCATATCGGCCGTAAAATTTGGCTCCAAATCGAATCAGTATATGGCCGCATCATCGTGGGATGGAACGCTTCGATTCTACGATGTGGCGGCAAACTCAATGCGCCAAAAATTTGTACAGGAGGCGCCCATCTTAGATTGTGCCTTTATGGTTTGTCATCACTACATAAATATGTCTAATTTAATCAAACTAATCCTATTTTAAACAGAATATAGTGCATGTAGTCAGCGGTGGACTGGACAATCAACTGCGCCTCTACGATGTGAACACACAAGCGGAGTCCTTGATTGGCTCCCACGACGAGCCCATTCGGTGTGTGGAGCATGCGGAATATGTGAATGGCATACTGACTGGCAGCTGGGACCGGACGGTCAAGCTATGGGACATGCGGGAGAAGCGCTGCGTTGGCTCCTTTGAACAGAACAATGGCAAGGTTTACTCCATGTCTGTGATTGATGAGAAGATTGTGGTTGCCACATCGGACCGTAAAGTGCTCATTTGGGATTTGCGTAAAACCGATAGCTACATCATGAAACGCGAATCGTCGCTCAAGTATCAGACACGCTGTATTCGTCTGTTTCCCAACAAGGAGGGCTATGTGATGTCCTCGATTGAGGGCCGTGTGGCCGTTGAATATCTCGATCATGATCCGGAGGTGCAGAGACGAAAATTTGCATTCAAATGCCATCGCAACAAGGATAACAACATTGAGCAAATCTATCCGGTGAATGCCGTCAGCTTTCATAATATTTATCATACATTTGCCACGGGCGGCTCGGATTGTATTGTAAATATTTGGGATGGATTCAACAAGAAGCGTTTGTGCCAGTTCCACCAATACGACACTTACATATCGACGCTTAACTTCAGTGCCGATGGCAGCGCCCTCGCCATCGGCTGCTCCTATTTTGATCAATTCTTGGAGACGCCCGCCGCAGTGCCCAATCCGGCTATTTATATACGCTACCCGACTGACCAGGAAACGAAGCAGAAATAAGTTCTTCTTCCAAGTACACATTTATTATTACCAAGGACACGTTAAGCACATTAAATATTATTTACTCGTAACTTGTTTGTCTTAAATGAGGCGCACAAATCCTCAAATAGCGACCACAGCAGCTGGCCAAGAACATGAGCCAGCTCGGCAAAGCTGAGCGCCGAGGCGCCCACATAGAGACCCAGAATGCCACCAAAACTGGCAACCCAATCGTGAAAGGTGTACTGCAGCCGCGTCACTATCTTCGTCAAAACCCGCCTGCCATAATAGATATCGGCACTGATGCGTCTTTGTCTGCGTTCAGTCGTATTTGGTCTGCGTTTACGGAGGATTTAGAGATATAGGTAGGACGAGAGATTGTTGCCACTTACTGTATAAATTGACGCACATTCAGATATGTGTAGTACGACTTAGTGTTGCAACTGTGGGGACACATGCAGAATTGGCCACGACGCGAATCATTTATATACAGCTCCTGATCATCCACTTTCACGTAGCCAAACACATCCCTGTGACTATAGAGGCAAGGAAAGTCTAACACGCTGCATTCGCGAGTGTAACCTGCAAAGGAAAGGAATCTTAAGGGTCGAGAGAGCTTTAGGAGATCTAGTAGCTAACTGCTACCCACCGATTGATGGCAAAAACAGAGGCATTGTGCATCTGCAGTGGTAAAGCACAGAGGATTGCAGACAGGCTGCAATGCAATTGGATCGACTATAGGGCATATCCGTAAGCGGAAAATTGGGATTTCTCTCGTTCTTCAATAAAACAATTGGTCAACGATTTGTGGAGTATGTTCAAAATGGACACTTACATCAAAATAGCAGCGTCGCTTTTTCGGATGCATTTTGTTAGTGTTTGTGGATGTTTGCACCATCATCGGATCAATGGATACAAGGTTTTCCGTATTCGAATAGAGATGGTAGCGCTTGTGCGGTGACCATTCGTTGGGCTCCTTGATCATCAACTGAAGGAAGAAAAGTGACTTGGTGACTTGATTGCTTTATTGGAAATATTAACCCACATTCATGGCGAATGGCACTTCGGTGCCCGCTCGCAAAAAGGAGTCGTTCATGCGCAGCACAAACTGCAGTCCAGATCCTTCGCCTGCTGTGCTCAATTTTAACGGATAGAACTCATTGAACAGTTTCTTCTTGCGCGAATTCTCCGAAATGAGCGAGTTAAAGACCAAACACTGACCGTTCTCAGTGTACTCCGGCACAAACAGATCGCAGCAGTCGTAGCTGGTCTCATCGAAAATGCAGGAGCCCGGCTCGAAGAGCTCGTCGCAGCGATAGGCCAAATAGCTGGCAAGCTTCCTTATACTGAGGTGGGCCAGTGAGGAAAGATTACGCTTGGATACCTCGGCAAGTGACTCAAATTTGCCAAAGGTCATCTGCTCCATGCCAATGAGCAGCTGGTGGAATGCTTCACGCGCATACGCATCTGTATTGTGGGGCAGAAAGCGTTCGGCAGCCCTTGAGGCGCGCAGCCAATTGACGTGATTCCACGGACAGATCGCCACGGCCGGAAACTCAATTTTGTAAACAGGCAACTGTGTGGTCTCCACTATACTGACCAACTGCTGCTCATTGTGATGATGGTCCAATACGGAAAACATGACAAGAAAACTAATTGTGGCCAGCAGCACGACCATTAGCCAGAAGAAGCGCACTCTCGGACGCCGCTCTGCGGACACATGTTGCATGCCGTGAATCGTCGAGTGGGCAAACAAATGACACACCATTCTTCCGTACTTCTCACGCACCGGATGACGTTTGAAGCGAAGCAATCCCCGCCTGAATTGGGCTCGCGGTGCGACAAGTTCCTTTGTGTACAGCAACATGGCAAATGACCCCATGGCTCCAAATCGAGCTCGCTAAGTATTATTCGATTCAATTATGGGCTAAGTGTCTAAGTGAATGAAATTATTGAGTACACTCCAAATGCCAATCATTGTTTGCTTTTTGTTATTATTTAGGGAAATGCGTAGACAAAATTATTGGTTATTTACTCTTAGGTGTAATTTCGGCATTGGCGACCAGGCTCTGCTGAATCTGCTGCAGGTGATTCTTCACCAGGCAGTTGGCACCGCGCCAAGCCCACTCGCAGGCATTCGAACCCTGCTCATTCTTGTCGACACAGGCGGCAATCTTGCCGTGCATCTCATCGTCGTGGCTGGCAGCGCCGCGGACCAATTGGGTGTGAATGTTCTCGACATTGAAACCAGACTGGACATCGAACAGGCCGAATTTGGTGAAGACGCATTTCAGATAGCATTGGGTTTTCTCATCGTTGGGATACTCCCATTTCTGATACTGCTCGACGAGCTCGGCGGGCACACCCAGTTCCTTGACGCACTCCTCGCGATAGCTCAACATATTCTCCCTATTCTTGACAACATACTCGGCGGTGGCCTGTGCATATTAAACAGCATTAGTCAAGGACTAAGTTACTCACACATTCTCAATGCTTACCAAGCCAAACAGCATGCAGATGGCAACGAAGAATTTCATTGTGCGTTGTTCAATGTTCAAAATTGGACTGTAAATGTTTAGACTCGACCAGCCGGTATTTATACTGGCATTGGTCTGCTGCGATCGTTCTCGTAAAAGTTCTTCTACCTATTTTCACTCAAAAAGAGGAACACAAAAATGTCAGCGGAAGCACAGCTATAAAATACCCTCTTTCTTCACTTTCAATGATGAAATGAGAAAGGTTTTTTACTTGATTCTATAAGTGTTTTAAATGTTTGATTACTAAGCCTACATTATAATAAACTTAATAGATTTAATTGTCATGAATTTAGAGTACATATTATAATCTTATCATCAAATGTGTAAAGGATAACTAATATTTAATATGCTTAATGTAATATTAAATATTAGTTATCCTTTACACATTTTATGATAGGATTATTGATATTGATATGAGCGTAACAAAATACATGGCAAATTTGATATATATTTATTAGATTTGTTAGGGTATATGTGAGTTGTCTAGAATAAGCAAGTGCTCTTCTGTGATGTGATTAAATCAGGTTCAAAGTACTTGTGATCGCTCATAGGTGACCTGCAGATAAGCCCACTCTGTTTGTTGGGCATTGGGTATAGATCCTAATGAGGGTTTTGATTTGAATCTTGCGGCCTGGTCACGTCTATATATATATGTACATGTGTATGTCTACAAAACATATTTTATTGAACTACATGCCCTACTCACAAATTGTGTATGTATTTGCGTTCGACTGAAACGGATCAATGTTAACTAAACAATATTATCAGTTCAATGGGGGGTTATCGAAAAATTGAAATAAACTTATTTAGCGTATATTTGTATGCACAAATTTTGTGAGATATGCAAGTCGAACAGTTCTATCTCTAAATCAATAACATATACCTTAAGGTTTATTATACCCATTTAAGCGGAGTGGAATCATCGAGGCTTCACTGTCGTCGCAATCCAAATTTGTGGAAATTTTCCACAGCGGCAGCAGGTAGCTGAAATTTGATGAGTTCTCAAGGCAGCCAGGTATTTGTATGCATTTCTTTTGAATTTATTTTTGTGTTTTGTGATTAAACAGTTAAACAATTGTGGGATTTTCTTACAGGTACAGAAACGTGAGATCCTTTAAGGTGCGTGATCAGGTTTGACGGGTTTGGATTCGGGTTCAGGTACGTGTTTCTTGCAGCAGGAAATGCGATTCAAGATAGCATTTACTGCTCCGAGCACAGATATGCCAAGGAACAAGCCAGCTATGCCGCCATAAGAAACTGGGAAAAAGAAGAAATATATTAGCAAGTGAAATGCGCTGGGAAATCAATTTGAAAACTCACCCATCAAATCAAGAATGGTTATGTACAGTGTGGAGCGATAAGAGAATAGGGTCGCCTCCTGAAAGTGGACATCGACTTTGATATAATTCTCATTGCCTTCCAAGCTGTTCCATTTATCCGTGAATGTAACTGCATGATACTGAGTGTGGGTGCAGCTGGGAAAACACTCGCAATCGGTTGTATTGAAGATGTTGTCCTTGGACTGTTCTATTATGTTGCCCATGTAGAAGAGTGATACTTTGGGAAAAGCGTTGATTCAGTCGTATATCACATTTGAATCGAGTACTTTTCAGGTTCCTTACCGCCGTTAGCCTGCAAACACGGCAAATCCTTCACTTCACATCTTCGAGTTGATTCCTCACGTCTGAGATCCACTTTGACTGGCTTGGGTAGGTCATAGGTGCAATTACACTTCTCCAATATATAGTTAAAATGACAGTGGGATGTACAGTCGGAGTATGATTCGGTCAGCTCCTCCGGGAAGTAGCAATGTCGTATATTCACCGGACGCGACCTGACACCTGGCTCAGCTGTAAAATGCAACGGTTGCAGGGTAAGCACAATCCGATCATCTGAGGTGTAAGTGACGCTTGAACCGATTAACTCAGAGGGCTCCTGCACAATGACCTTGAAAATATGCATTAATTTATTTTATTGAGATTTTCACCACAGCAATCGACAGTTGTGTCCTGTGTATCCGAAAGTTAGTTCAATTTTTACGATATTGCTATTGAGATTTGAAGTAAACTGAATGTAAAAGTCGTCTTAAAGGATTAAACAACATATGATACATCTTTTTGAATTAGATAAGATTTGAAAAATAAAGAAATACTTTTAAAATATATCTGAAATCATTGCTTAGATGTTTATGTAGGGTGTTAATCAGAAGATCTTGGTGATATTGTCTCTATTTGACTCTGATAGACCCTTTTCACAAACAAAACATCTAAGCAAAGATTTCAGTTCTTGGAAAATACGTTTTAAAAATAAATTTTGACAGTTGTGGAAGTTATATTAAAATATATATATCCGAAATAAAATATTGACTCATCCAAATCATGTACTAAATCCCAAAACTTACTCCTATAGCCTGTAGTCGAATGCCATTTAGGTATCGATTTAACTGGATATTCAGTGCGCTCTTGATACCATAATCGGCGACCGACCAAGGCCACGTAGGATCCGGATTCTCGGCATATATCGAGTTGAATGAGGAACAGGTGCCGAGAGTCATTCGTCTGAACAGAACACTGCAGCAATCCACAACCTTGCGTCGCCAGGTGCACCGTACAAATAGGTCCTCGCACTTGTATTTAAATAAACTGTCGATATGATGCAACGATTGGTTCTTAAACTCCTCGAATTCTTTGAGGTCTCGCTCTGTTTCTTGGACATTGGCAGCTGTCCGCCAATGAACGCTCTGCACCAAATTAAATAGCTTTATGCGCTTATCTCTTTTTGCCCGTCTGCCAGTTATCCAGAGTTATGTCTGCGGGGCAAATAGTAATCGCTGGAAAGGGAATCTTCGAGACGTGGACATCGGTGCGATCGATTGTGGTCTGAACCCAGTACTTGAAGTACCGATCAGAGGATAGAATACAAACATAAATTGTCATTATTGCACCGAGTAGCAGTAGTATAATGCGTGCGAAGCTGAGAAAATCAATTGAGGAAGTGTTAAGTAGCTTATAATTGAACTGAATTAAGCACTTACCATCTGAGGCAGAAGCAGGCTTCATTATGTGCCTGAACTTTATTCGGTTTGTCAACGTCATTATCGAAATCGGGCTTCCTAATAACAGTGCTCATATTGATGAACTGATTGGTAGGTGAGGCAGCTAATCACTGATTCGGCGACAGATTGAATAGCTAATATAAATTTTCCCCATAGTTTGTAGCTAGATAATTATTAACAATCAACAGACTTATCAGTGCCACCGAAACATAACAATTCGATCACTAAATTTGTTTGGCATAATGGATATACATATCTATTTAGTGATACGGTTCCAAACTGCAATTAGAAGTTTCCAAATTTGAGGCATATAAAACCGGAGCACTTTCATTGTTTGTAGCGCATTGGCAAAATGGTTAAGGCAGCGCAGGCTGCCAGGTTGGCCAAGGAAGAGGACAAGTCTTTTATGGATTTGGTCCGAGAATACTTTCGCTACTATTGTGAACGATCAACCATACATTGTGTGCGCTATCTCTACGATCCCAGGCTACATAATGTGGAGAGGTGTTTTGCATCTGACAACTCAAAAGTTAATCTCTTCCAATGAATACCTCTTTCTTTTGTGATATAGACTCATTTGGAGCGTGTTACTCATCGTCAGCGTTACACTTTGCTGTTCCTTTTATTTGCTACTCTCGGAGCGTTTTGGTGCCCAGAAATTGCAAACGGTTATTGAGAATCCACAGTATCCTGTCTTCTATGTACACTTTCCGGCTGTGGGGGTCTGCACTGACAATCGCATCAATTGGAGCAAGGTGGACGCAGCCAAGGCACAATTTCTGCCCGCAAATTCTAGTGAAGAGCTTGTCGAAGGATTTACCAAACTGATTGCATACCTGGAAACGCTGCGATTCGACAACTTCAAGTATAGTGTTTCAGAATTGGAAGATCAAAATCTGGAGGCTCTAGATTTCATCAATCTCAGTTCCTTGGTGCACTTCCTGACGCTGGGCTGTGAAGATATTTTGGTGTCGGGTTCCTGTATGTGGCGGCAAACGGTTTTCAATTGCTGCGACTATTTTGTGCTGGAGAAGACAGAGTATGGATTATGTTTGGTATTCAATTCGGAGCTATCGGATCAATCGCATGAGATTAGGAAACGCGAAGGTGACGCCTACTATCCAAAGCACAATGCCAAGGCCGGTCAAAATTCGGGTCTCAATTTCAACTTACTGTTAAATGACAGTTTCAAGCGACCAAATTCGTTGGCCACGGATAATGTCTATGTGAATAGCTCGAACTGTGATTAGTACGATTGAATGCTTAACCTATTCATCCATTTGCAGCTCATGGTGAAGAAACCCAATCAGATAAATAATGATGCCCACTCCATAACACCAAACACGGAGACCCACGTTACAGTGCAACCTCTGCAGACACGTACCGATAACACTACTCGCGACATTCCGCCAGCCCGCCGCAATTGTCATTTTGTGGACGAGTCCGTAGACTTTGGCATCAGCGATGCACCGGGACGCTTGACCAAGAGTTTTCTACTATTCAACTGCCTAACCAACTGTCACGAGTCCTATTTGGTCAAATTGTGCAATTGCACGCTGCCCATTTTCTTTCCGAAAACCCGACAAGGTAAGTTTTTCCGGACTCCCATTGGACAAATTACGGATTAATCTTGAATTTATTACTGTTTTCTGTACTTCAGTAAAGAACTGCACTGCGTCGAGTCTGCGTTGCCTTTCACGTCACAATGGCAAGTCAAGTGGTGGTTGTCTCTAATCATCAACATATTAAATGTATTTAGCAGATATTTTCAGATATAATAAGCATTTGGAGGAGGATGATTACTATAGTGTCACAAAACAGGGCATGACTTGTCCTTGCATGGTCAGTTGTAATCTGCTGGAATACTATACGTCCACCACAACGCTGCCATTGTCTGCTAAAAATTTGTAAATTACTCTCTCTGAAATATTTTGATACAATATTTCAGAATCGATGTTTTGTAGGCCTGCTTCTCCAACGCTGAAGTTTTTCAAAGTCGATGTGCACTACGCTGTGGAAATGATGATAACCTATCGCACTAGCCTCGAGTTTAGCAGCATTGATTTGATAGGTGCACCTTTGAAGAGATTTCAATTCAGTTGTATTGTGTATTTAAATATGTTCGTTTCTTTAGCTAATCTTGGCGGCATATTTGGACTCTGCCTGGGCGCCTCAATGGTCAGTGGTGTTGAGCTGATTTACTTTCTGACTGTGGGCTTCCTACTACACCTTTATGACAACAAATACAACGTTGTCTTTTGCAAGAATCTCAAGCGGATGTGGGTCAAGTGTCTGCGTTATTTACAGAACGAAGTCAGTCACGTCCATCACGAGTCGGGAATTGTGAAGGCAACGCCCAAAAGCAAACTGCGACATCCGTTTAATAAAAGGACGAACGCCTGGTGAATATTTTAATACAAATATATACATATGTATACGTGATGGTGGGAAAAATAAAACTGATTATTTTAATTTAGTTTTCAAATGCTCAAGTTAAATGTAGAAATGTCTGGCTTAGGTTTGATTGCTCCTTGGGATAATGATTGTGTTTAAGTTTATGTATTAGAAATGTTGTTTGTCTCTTTAAACGTACAAAAGGCGTTTACTTTTAGCACATTTTGATGAGGATTAAGATGAATATTATTTGCAATTACTCAAGTAAAATATAAAAATGTCTGGCTTAAGTTTGGGTGCTATTTGGAGTACTGATTGCGTTTAAGTTTAGTTATTGGATTTTTATTAAGCTAAGAAACACTAATATTGCAATATTCTATCGTTTGCTAAATTTTGTTTATTAAGATTATCATACAGCATACATAATTGTTGTTCAGTTAACATCTCATTTATGTATTTAATAACTTTGTTCAATACTTAACTTTAATTGGTTTTATCTTGCGCGGAAAATATATTGTGACGGGTTGTGCTGGTGATGTCTGCTTGGACTTCCTGTTGCCGCCAAACAAATATAAATATAGACCAATGGTAAAGTAGTAGACCAACTCGAAGGCGCTGAGAAGCGAGGCACCCAGAAATAGACCAGCGATGCCACCAAAGCTAGCTGCAATTGTTATGCACATATTCAAGTAGATTATGTTCATTGTGAATGGTGGATAATACCCACCGAGCAGTTCCACAAAAGTGAAGCGCATTTGTGTTTGATATTTGATGAACCAAGGCGATTGAAAGAACACGTCCAGATGCATGCTGTACGCATCGGGCCTCATTTCGTCTGAGCTTTATGGGTTAATTTTTATGAGACGTCGAAGATTAGGATTAAGATTAATATACTCACTCTAATGCATTGCTGCTGAAGATGGTGTCGTAAACCAGCTGTGAACAGCTGTTCAGGCAGTCACAGATCATGTACTCCTTGAACACACTGTCCACGTACTCCTGCTCCAGAGGAAGGCGCTCCACGCCAAATGTCACTAGGAAGTGTGCAGTTTTAATTATAGTTTAGTCAATGCTGCTCTGTACTTACATCTGTGGTCGTATAAGCATCGAAAATCAGATGGCTTGCAGTCTACAAAATGATCTAAATTGCGATAAAATAGTTACCCAAATCAATTAAGGCCAGACTCAGAATTGTACTCACCATCTTTGTTACGGGGAAAGAACATATCCGCAGAGCAATTGCACAATTTAATCGCATACTCCTGGTGGCATTTGGTGCGACAATTGCCTCGCCAATAGGTGAAGCCCGGCAAGTTCTTGTAGTACGGGTTGTGGATCTCATCGGGAAAGAGGCAACCCCTTTGCTTTGCATCCACAGTTCGGGTTCCAGCCTCGGAATTCGTGTAGCGAGGCGTCAGACTAACTGAATTGAACGAGTTGGTGGGCAACTCTCGGGCTGAATCGCTCCACTGTTGTGGCTGCTTGATAATCATGAATGAGCCGCTAACGCCAGGATAAACTAGCGATTTGTTTAAGCGCAGAAATACATCCAGTCCAGTACCTGGCCCGGCTTTTGCAGTGCGGAGCGGATAGTATTTGTCGACCTTCTGTAAATGTATGATTGCACTCAGAAAAAAGTTTCTTTAAAAATATACTTATTAATGCTCACCGCACGTTGTTGCATCTGTACACTGACCGCCGAATTGAAGATCCAACAGATGCCCAATTCAGTGATCTGCAACTCGAATATCTCGCAACAGTTTTGCTGCTTGCCTCTCCATTTGCATTCCACGAAGATATCAGTGCAATCATGATGCGCATAGCGCAACACACTCGACACATCCAAGCCATCCAGTTGGTGAACATTCGCTGCGAGAGTTTGGTTCTCAAAAATGTTTTTCAGATTACTCATATCTTCAAAGATTACAGTAGAAACAGCTGTAAAGAATTGTATAAAGACGTCTTTTTGCTCCTGGGTGGCATTGGCGCCCAAAAATTGCTGGGGCACTTCCTGTTGCATTTTCAGCCAATTGATGCGACTGCGTGGACAAATGCCCACACTTGGGAATGAGATTCGGAATACGGGCTGCATGCTGTTTTCAATGGTTGTTTGAACACGGCCAGAGTTGTAAAGTGCACTGAGATCAATATACACAATAGTTGCGCAAATGAAGGTGCCCACCAGAATCAATAGCCAAATGAACCTGAAGTGTCATAGACTAGTTAAACATGCAATTTTACACGTCTTTGATTTATTTTATTAACTGCAATTATTTGATAATCGAATGCACGATTATAAAATAAAATCCAAATAGGTTAAGTACTATTTTAACTCGGATAAGTTTTGACAAAGATATGGCAGTGAAGAATTTGAATCCAAATGCATTTTTTTGGGGAATTAATTTCGACAACTTTTCCAATAAAATATCATTTTTTGGGGATAATTTTTACTTCACTTTGAATTTTTTTCATCGTAAATTTTCTCTTAAGTTGATTGATTTACATTAATATTATTGGTTTTATAAATGAGCTTACCTTTCAAAGTGACGCAATTTGGAGTCCGTCAAATACCGGATGCCGTGCAGCGACGAAGTATCACAGTATCCCTTGACATAAGTTAGTATCGGTCCCGAAACTGTGCTCTTCCTGCAGCAGCGAGGCGACTTGAAGCAACGAGTCCCAGTTTCATCGATGTAATTCCCATAAAGCGGAGGACGTGCTCTTGGGCGAGCCAGCTCCTGTGGATAGTACATTTTGAAGAGAGAGCTGCTGAACGAATGGAGCATTTTGTAGCATTCAAGTTGAACTTGCAGGCCCCCACAATGTCCCATCATGAACATTGGACTCAATCAAAAAGCAATTATTCTTGGCGGCCAGAATGGGCTGGGGCTGTTAAATCACGCACACAATTAACACTTGAATGCTGTCCGGGGAGACGACGGACGGAGGGACGGACAGCTACAAGTGGACAAGGACGCGAGAGATGTTTACCCAACATTTCTGGTGGAAGAGGTGGGCTCCTCCACTGGCGCTGTCCAGTGGCAGCATAATCTCCTGTTTGCTCGACTGTTTGCACGTTCATTAAGCAATCGTCCTTTCGCCCCCAGACTGTGTTGAGTGGTTGGAGAATTTCAAGTTGTGTGCGCTCCAACGAGGACCTGGAATGAAGGAGCTGTTGTGCGACAGATTTTTTTCCCCGACTTGCACTTGGTCAACTTGGTCGGCTGAGTGCTTTGTGTAAGCAAGTAAAAATATTTTCGATTTATCATTGCGCGTTTTCGTCTTGACGATTGAGTTGTTCCTGAGTTGCCTTTGGCAGTATGATTTATTTGCTCTGCTCACATTCCTTTCGAATACTTTTTGACTGTGCCCAGAAATGCTATATAATTTGGGAAAAGGAACTGCGAAAAAAACATTCTGCTGTGATTCGTCTGCGTTCAAGCCAATTGATATTATCAATAACCGAGAGACTAAAATCTGTAATCGACTACATGGCATGTGTGAGTGTGTGTGTGTGTATATATATGTATAAATATGTGTGTGTGTGTGTGTGTGTGTGTGTGTGTGTGTGTGTGTGTGTGTGAATGGTGCACACATGTATGCCCCACACTAAGCCTGCTTATATTGGCTTAACGTTCAGGCAAGGACTGAGGACTGTTAGTTATTAAGCTTAAGCTTACAACTCACTGTCAAGTGGCCAGAGTCAAAAATCAACTGGAATTTGTGGAATTTTGCAACGCTTTTGAGTAATTTGATTTTTCGCTACAATAAGTAAGTGAAAACTGGGTTGTAACTCTTTGGTTTACAATATTTTGACCTTGGATTATGTTTAATTTTTAAGTTTTTGAATTTTAGTGCTTATATGGAGTAGCTGCAAACCCAAAGATCTTAATTCCATTTGTATGCAATAGTTTTATTGACTCTAAAAAAAAGAACATGGCTTTTTCAAGTCGCAACCAAGTTGGCAATAAGCCCAGTTGCGATTTGGAGATTAGAAAAGTATAAACTTCGAAATAATTTATGTGGTGACGAGCATAAATTTAATTTCCTGGCTCAATGACAATGTGACATAAACAACATCACTTACACACAAACATACATCTAAATGGCTAAGAAGTCTTATAGCACCGTTGGTTAATAACCTCCGATTGCTGCGGTAGGATCAAAAACTTTCGCTTTAACTTTCACCACACGAGTGTGTGCAACAATTTGGCCCTGACTGAGAACGAACAGTGTCGACTTCATCTTTGTCGGGGGTTCAAGTTCATTTGGCCCATTAAGCGAAGACAGCGCCACAGTCATGTAAACTTTGTGGTTAGACATGCAAAGCCAGCTCCAGCTTCCACCTAACCCAAGTCACGATATCCCCCCGACCCCAAACCGAACCCCAGCCCCAAAACCCCTTTCCACAATCAGCCATTCAGTCGTTTGTCGTGCGTCCGCTCAAAATTCAATCTCACTTTTATGAGGCAAGAGAAACGTGACAAGAAGACGCTGACAGGGCACACGATGAGCTTCTGCATATTGGCCAACCAACAGGCGAGCAGAGAGTGCCAAGTGCGGCGCTTAAGCCATTTAAATATGCAAATTTGGCTTAAAAGGAACTTTAACTCCTTCGTGGTGCTCGTCAGTGTCAAACTTTTGCACGCTAATTTGCATGTTTAGCACCGCGGCATTGTCTATATTTGCCCCTACGCCACCCATCTAACTGCGATATAATTGTGTTTATCTTTTGATGACTGAATCCCCGCCGAGTTTCATAAATACTCGTTGCTGTGTTCTTGTCAAAATCATAAACAAGCCACGAAATGCGTGTTAATTATTTAATAATATTAAAGGATTACCAGCCATGAAGCCAAGAGCTTATGATTGATCATTGTCGCTGTCAAATGCTGGCTGAAATATATATAAATGTAGATATATATATATATATATATATGTATATATATATACTCGTACTTAGGACTGTTTGAGTTGGCTTTTAGCAAAGATTTACCCATTTAACTGATGAGCTGCAAAGAGGCCAAGGCTGCACTTGGCACATGCTTTGTGCTACATGCTGCATGCTACATGCTAAAGTTTTGTTAAAGTCGACGCCATTTTGTGTTTATGTCTGCTTCCGCTTGCATTGATTTCAGCTGTGCTCCGACTGCTTGCAAATAATTTGAATAATTTTGTGAAGAAATGCAAAATTTACATATAAAATGCGAGAATTTTTTGCCGTTTGGAACCTAGATGCCAGTTGCAACATCATCAAGATGTGGGCGAAGACAGGAGACAGGACACGCAGGCAACAGGCACACTTTTATACAAATTTGCAGTGACGGAGATGCAAGGACTCAAATAAGTGTGTGCGTGTGTGGGTATGTGTGTGTTGTGTATGAAAGAAAGCAGGCTCTGGCGCAGAAGACGATGCTTTTAGCATGTGTTTTGCAAATGCAAATGTTTGTACGCAATCGGGGAATAAACACATATATATAAATATATATATATATAAGTCTGTAAGTGTGTGTGTGTGTGTGTGCGCGTGTGTGCTCTATCAAATTTTCGCCCTTTTGTCCCTGCTGTTGTCTGAGCGCGCCTGTATGCGTGAAAATCTCAATTTGAATTATGAACTTGGTAAAATTAGAAAACTTTTTTATAATTGAAGTTATGAATTTTAAATCCATTTCATTTGGGTCTCACACAGCTCTTTTGCTTTCAGTTTACTTTCAGTCTGCTGCAGATGATTTTCATCAATTTGAACTCTGCTCACTTGTAAGGTAGGTTAAAATTTTAAATGCCTCCATTTATTCCGGTTGAGAGCAAATTTGGCTCTTTTTTTTAGCATTTACCAATACTTATGGGTTTCTTTGAAAACACACAAAATATCCAAGTAGTGTATTCCTTTCGAGCGACACGAAGCGATGCGCTCAAAAAAAAAAACATCTATATCCGTGCATTACTATGAAATCTGCAGTTGTATTTATCTACATCACATACGAATATAGCGAGACACTCAATTTTAATCAAGTCCGCACTGGACTCTCATCAGTCACGACATAGAGCAAACATTATTACTGAACATATTATTACTGTCCAACTGTCTCCCATCACAAATCCGCAATATTTAACAACAGCCACCAAATGCCACCTTTTAGACCCCAACCGCCACAACCTTAACTTGATATTAGAATTCCTAAGAAAAATAAAAAACAAATGAAGCGGCTGAGCTGGCGAAAAATTATAATAATAAAAAATAATAGTGTTTCCGATGCTTTTACTCAAATTCATGTTGAATCCCGTCGTTATATTTTTTTAACTATAAAAAAGGTAAACAAACTAGTTTACTGAAACATTTGACAGACACGTTGTCAAAAGATTAAATTAACCTAAACATAGAATGTGATTCCAAATAGTTCCCTAAGGCAAACCCTCAACACGCTTAAATGTTATTATAAATTCATAAAGAAAATTAAGTGAAATATGGAAAACTCAAACCGTTTTAGAATTATATACGTGGTAGTCTGATTTTGATAATTTAGTATCAACTCACATTGTATTCAGCTGCTGTCGTTGAAATTATAAATCTATGTTTTACACATTTGGTAAAATATACTTGCAAAACTTATTGAAAGTGACATTTACTAAAATAACTAAATAAAACAAATAATTTTCAATAATATCTGTTTTTTTCAAAAATGGAAGCTCGGCGCCTTGAACAACAGCGTCGCTACTCGGCCAAAAGCAATGCCGTGCAAACGTTGCCATCGACGCAAGACGAGAAGTTCAATTTACGCCTGATCGACCTATATAGGAAGTACCCGTGCTTGTGGAATCAATCACTCAAGGATTATGAAGATGTGGACCTGAAGCGTAAGGCCTGGCAGGATATTGCAGATGAAATGGGAGCCCATCTGAAGGCCAACTTCGTGCGCCATCGTATACTCGAAATGCAATACCAACTCAATATCTACAATCTCAAAATGATTGAGTACAAAATGTACCCCGATGCCAGCAGGCAACCGGAAAAACTCTACTACTTTGATGCATTTGCTTCGATTGTGGATGCAAGCCAGAGACGCGAGCCAGATCAGAGCGGACGGACAGAAGATGCCAAAAACTTGGTCGCGAAGAAAGCCAATCGTAGCATTGCAGACATTTTCAAGCAGCGAATTCAGCAACCAAATAATATGAATATCATGAGAAAGATGATGCAGCGTTTAGTTCTCAGCAATAACGATAATCCCAACGGGTCACCCCGTGGCCACTTGGAAAGCGGATTGTGGCTGAAGGCGCAGCAGCCTGAACAGATGATGGATGCAGCCGTCAAATCAGAAATCAAGTCCAAATCAGAAATTGACAACATGATAATAGAGCGTATACAGGGCATGGAATTGCCGGTTGATAGTATGGACAGTAACAGCTTGGATGGTCAAGAAGCGCTCATGTACATTCCCAGTGTGGTCAGGAAGCGATTACGACAGAATTTTATGAGTGGCATGCGTCGCGAATTGGAGGGGGAGAGGCATTCGCAAACAATTGCAGCACCAAAAAAACACCCTACACCATTATCACCCATGAAGCCTGCACTGCCCGGCGATTCCGTGTCCAAGACCAGACTGACCCATAAAGTGGGACTGCCTAAGTCGACTAAGTCGGACGGATCGGAAAGCAAATCAGAAGATGAGGACGTTCATCGCCTGCAATGGAGGGTGCGGCTGCAGCGAGGCAGTCGTCGTCAATCCGGCAACGCCCAGAAATACAATCTCCAGCCTCCGTTGTTGCAGGGCATGTGTGACTGTGACTTTTAACAACATGGACCAATCCGAAATATAAAAATATAAATGAGAGAACTGGGTGGAAACATTAGGATATGTTAATCATTTGATTTAGTAAATTAGTATTTAAAAATAATCTGAATTGCAATCAAAATTATATATTATGTAAAACACGTGATTTGATTTAAATATGTATTAAGTATACTGCTTTAAAGCATAAACTGCATACTCCATAAGAAGTAATACTTCAACAAATTGTTCTCAATGGCATATTAATTTGGGGCTCTTTACACCTTCGCCAAAACATGACGATAATAATGAAACTGGAATTAGCATGTGCAAAATGCAATAAACGCTGAACGAAGCACGAACAACAAGCAGTCAACTGCTAAGCTACACACGTCAACACACTTGAGTCCCAAGGGTAGCTGGTTTCCTTCGAGAAGTACTTCTCGCCAAGAAGTCGAATAAGCGCTGTTTCAGGAGTATTCCTTCGAAGGTTTGCTGGCTTTTTAACTAAAGTTAGTTCGAATTTTGGATACTACTTGAATTAGCTGATTATAACAGATTCATAACTGCCGGAATAGTCAACAGAGATTTGTTTCCTTTATGCTAAAACACGTTTTTAGCTTACCTGATATTTACAAAGCAAATATTTGTTTATAATACGAATTTCAACTCTCAGGGGTATCTCGAATGGGTGTGTGCGTGTGTGGGGAAGTGTGCCAGTTTACATGTAATTTGTTGGTCGAGTGTGCATGTGTGAAAGGTATTTTTGCAATTTACGCACCTGAGTATTTCATTTGGAAGTTTGTCTAACAACTTTTTAAATACCTTTCAGCGAGCTTTGTCATGTCACATACTTTGCAGCACAAAGTTTCGTGTCGTTAAATTATTAAAATGCAATTTAATGTAATAAAAGCACTTAAAAGGTTCACTTTTTATTTATGAAACTTCTTAGTTTAAGTTTATTTCAATACGTGTGCAATGCAAAGCAAAAAGCATTTAATAATCTTCTTAGATTTAAATTTGTTTTTTTTTTTAGATGTCTGCTCGATTTGTAGATGCAGTCTACACATATGCATGTGATCGTTAAGTTATATATGTATATACACATATATATAAATATATTTATGTACATATATATATATATATATATATATAGCACATTGCCACCTGTTACGTTAATTGAGTCTGTAAAACTTTCTCATTGGGACTGATGGCCCTAATGCGACAAGTGCTCACATAATTCTAATAAAAAAAAAATAAAAAATAATAATAATGAATAAATAAATTAATAAAAACTTAGAGTTATTTTATTACCTTCCTGGTGAATAGTTTGGACTTAAACAATTGTTTAAATATGATAAAATAATGCACTGGATTGTAGTGCGTTTGCCTAACTTAATAAAATGTTATGCCTACGATTATGCTTTGGTTTTTTTTATTAATACCAAGCCGAGCTTTTGCCGACGCCCTCTATGAGATTGTAGTGTGCCTGCCTAAGTTAATAGAATTTTATGCCTACGATTATGCTTTGGTTTTTTTTTAAGCCGAGCTTTTGCCGACGCCCTCTGTGAGATAGAGTACTATGTCAAGCCCTTTTTGGTTAGTTGATTAAAAATTTTTCTGATAGCTGCCCTTGAGTTTTTGCCTGCCGAAAGGGATAGTCGTGCGAGTCCCATCGACTTTCCTTTTTTTCTGGTTCGTGGATATAGAAAAGTTACACGTGGACGCCATGAAAATCGTCCCTAAGACGGATTTTTTTTTTGAACTGAACGAATAATATAATTGCCACCGGCCAAAAAATTTTACCACACTCGCCAACATTAAAATTGCTCCTTTAAATTTAACACTAATCAATTGACCTCCCAAGCCTTGACAATGCCCCGCCTACAAAAGATCTTTTGAATGTGGAGGATATTCAAGTAAGTGCATCTGATCCCTAACTTTACTTTTCGTTTAAATTTTATTGTTGGTAAGCAGCAACAATACTTCGATGTTAAAGTGTGTTAAAAATGCGAAAAAGTGTAAAATTACAAGTGCAAAACTCTCTCAATTTGGTGATGAGAAAGACATAGATAAAAAAAAACTCACTCAACTTTGATCGCCTTTACAATGAGCGGAAGAATTTTCTTTTGAGTTGTTATCCAAAATTAAAGCACAGCCCAGAAGTATGCTAACACTTTAACATCGAAAAAAATGAATAAACACAGAAATAGAAATGAAACATTCGAATACCAAAAAAAAAAAAAATAAATATATAAGGGAAATAAATATAATATAATAATAATATATAATATAAGCAGATAATAATATCATATGTAATGAAATATTAAGATTTAGTGGGAATTCAAAGTTAGCTCAACAATTCAATTACAAATGGACGCATATACAAATCTGGTCTGGGCGCACTTCTGTGCTGAAGCGCTACTGGTTATAACTGTGCGACACAGTGCCTGCAGCCAGCGTATAACAGTTTAGCGCCTGCGCGCTGCCAACCAGAATTTTGGCGCCAATTCGTCAGCTGTGCGCTTTGCCGCCGCTGCCGAGCGCAGCGCACAAAAGTATGCTTTTACAAGTGAGAAGAGGTCGCTGCAATAAATGTAGGCTTGCGAACGTGGGTATAGGAGTGTGTATGTGTGTGTGTGTGTGTGAGTGAGTGTGAGTGTGTGCTGTGAATATACGAACTGTGCGATGGTAGCTTCTTGCAGGCTTCAGCTGCCATCATCGTCCTCGTGTCTGTTTCGCGTTTCGTAGTTTGAGGTGGTTCTTGAATGCCAGCAAATGTTTTGGACTCGTCATTCAGTGGCAAGCACGAAGCCGAACACTGTCGTTGTTGTCGTTGCGTTCGCTGCTGCTGTCGGCACCGTTAGTCATTGTCGTGGCAAGTCCTGTGGCCGCCGCTTTTCCCAAGCTTTGCGTTGTTTTCGAAGCTATTCACTCGCGTTAGTTACATCAGTGACGTACGGTCAGAACGGGTCGGCTCTTCGTTGGCAATTGCCAAAAATATTTGTGAATGAATTCGCATCACAACCGAGTGAAACTTGACCATTAAAAAGAATCGGACTGCAGTGCAATAAATACGAATTGGTGCCAAGTGTCAATTATTTAAAAAAAAATATGAAATAATAAATTAAATACAATTTGGAAAATTATATTTTAAAAATGTTGAAAAATATTTTTTTTATAACGAAACATTTGAAAACAATGTACAGAAAAATAACTTAACAAAATTATCAACATCTTAAAGTCAAAGTAAATAAATAATTCTAAATTTTGTACTTCAATATTTTTTCGATTCGATGGTATTTTAATGTTTTTTCTTTTCCTTTTTACCTTTAATTGTCAATAGGCGAAGACGTATTGAGCCACAGTCCATACACCCATTTTTTAATATTCATAATCAATACACAGTTATAAAAAGAAAAAGCCAAATAAAAAGAAAACCATTTAATTGTCTTATGCTATAAATGATTAATTTTTGTTTCGTCTGCATGTGTGAAAAGCCATATAATTTTCGAGTTCAACGGAATGAATAAATATTGGGTTTACGATTGTAAAAAACGTGACAAATTGAAGTGTGTAATTAAATCATCAATTAACAAGGATTTCCTATAAATATATAAAAAAGCAAAAAAAAGAGGACAGGCCAAGGACACTAAACTTCATGATGGGCCAGTGTGGTTGCTATCCAGTTGCCTTTTCGTGAATGAGTCTGCTTTGTTAAGTGATTAATTATGCTAATATATTTACCAAGTGAAATTCAATTTCAACCGCAACGTGAGTAACAACAACCATACGAGCCCAAACCACAGGATACCAAGCAATATACAAGAAAAAATATCCAAAAATACCAAACAAAAATAAAATACAACTGCAACTACAACAATAACATCAGCACGCAGGGAACGAGAAATTGCATTCTTGCTGCTGCTGCTGGTGTTGCAGCTGGGACCCTAAAGAGGAAGGATCCTTATCCTGCGAGGGGTACGTTTTAAAGTTATGAAGATGAATATGGACTGTAGCTCTTAAATAGTTGAGTACAGTTTCCATTTATGGGAAATTTAATTATTGTACACCTGTGTCACTTATTCAAATTAAGCTATAGTTGTTAGTAAAAAGAATAAAAAGAACAACATAAAAATCTCAAAGGTACTTGAGAACATTTTGACAAGTTGCCTTTTATTTAGGGTTTTTGTTTTTTTCTAAGCAAATTAGTTGCCCTTTTGTGTGGGCCAAGTAAACAAACACATAAGGACACACTGGAACCGAGGACCTTTTTTCCGGCCTTTCTAAGCCCTGAGCGTTATTTTTTAGTTTCACCATTTTAAATGTAAAACGCAAGACGGACAGACGAGACGGCAAGTCGGCAACAACGACAAGTATAACATTTAGGTTAATCATACGCCATATACAACGGCACTGGCTTCCTTGCTGACTTTTTAGCATAAATTAGTAAGTTTTCTCTCTTGGTGTCAGTCGAAACGCCGCCGAAGTAAACGTTGCGGCCCTGAGCTCACTTTCTGACGTTGACAGAAATAAAACTCTTTAATGGGGAAAAACAAGCGAATAATCGTGACTCAAAACAAGTAAAGTGGAGGGAGGAGGCTTAGATTGTTCGCGAGCTGTCAGGTGAAGTGCTGCTAGTTGTCAGCGGCAGCATCCGCCGCTGCCACGCTTCCTTATTATTTAAATCAATTTTAATTTAATCATTTTATCGTTCTAATAAATCATGTACCAGGCGCCTGCCAGCCACAAAGCACCATCGCCTCGGACAGCAGTTCGTAGACTGCTTTGGTTGTTGTTAACAATATTCGAGCATATAGGGAGGAACTGAGCTGTAGACAAAACAAAATTTAAATAGAAAATTAAAGCGGTGGCGACAGTGACAGCGATGTTGTTGAAGATGAAGATGACGATGACTATGCCGATGACGATGACGATGCCGGAAACAAAAGAAAAAAAGTTTCTTCATTAAAAATTTTAATGACTTTCTCTCTATTTGCGCAAGGTAATGAAAGTCAACAGCGTAACTATGTTTATGCGCAATTTCAGTACACCTAGCTCATATTTACTTTTGATGCAAATGCATAATTTTTTCGAGTTTTGCGCAAAATTATTTTCATTTGAGCCTCGTGTTTGTTGAAATTACTGCAGCCAAATGGACACTTCACGTGGGGGAAAATCTACTGAATAGAATTTAAACTTTAGATTATTTTCTTAAATTTAGAATACTTGTTGTGTTTAGTATTAAATATGTTATTTTTACATCCTGAAGAATAATCTTTCATGCATTGTTGAACATAGTTTGCTAGTGTCAAGCATTGATTGTTTGCTAATCTTATTAAATTTAAATATAACATTTTGTTAATTTTTTTTACTTTTTGTTTTATTTATTATTTTCCACCTATAGCTCATTTAGATATAATTGTAAGGTCTTTGGTAATCTTTCACTGATACTGTATAATTCACAAACCTTTCTTGAATAAGTAAAATTCAATTTCCTTCGAAAGGCTTTCCACAATTTTGAGCTGTTTATCTCTAAACAATTGAATAATTAATGTCATAAAATTTCAAATTTTTCTTAAGCTATAACATTTAAATTATTAAATCAGTTTTCTACTGAAAAGCAATAAAAATGACAAAATCCATTTTAGGTTCGGCTCAGAGGCTTCTTTCATTACACAAATTTGTCATCCTCCTCATGCAATTATAATTATTTTATATTTTAAATTTTATTTTATGAAAGATTACATCGAATTTGAATGAGAAACAAACATAAATAAGTATATTTTAAAACGGTAATGAATGAATAGTAAGAATATCTCTGGCTCAAATTCAAATTATTGTTTTATTCATCTTCGACTCACATCCCTTTAAGTATTTATAATCACTCTCTTTTCAATGGTATTGATGACAAAGTTTACTTTTAAGAACACATCCAAATAATATGTCACATAAACGATTTTTGTTTACATTGTAAATGACCGCTATTGAATATAGATAGTCATTAAAAAACAAAACAAATATAACAAATATAACTTTAACAATAATTCTGGCATAAGAATGGAATGTTTAAATTGTTTTGTTCTGCATTTTCATTCGATTTGTATTAATTGTATATGAACGTTATTGAATTCAGGTAGCTATTATAAAAGCGGAACAAATATTATGATAATTTTAACAACAATTCTGTCATCTGATATAATACTGTGTGTAAATAGGAAAGTTAAACTGTTTAATTATTTTTTTTTGCTTGTTTTTAATATAATTTCAATATTTATTGCTATTTTAATTTGGACTTCTGAAAATTAAATTACTCATTATATGAGAATTTTAGATAAGATTAAGCTTATAATTAAGGTACGAAATTCCAGAATCAAAAGCGCTTATATATATGGATGGCTTTAGCGGCCTTATATCTCTTTGGCGTTTATTGATTTTGTAATAATGCTAAGCCAGACACATGCACTAAGCTTCATATTCCTTGGTAACCAATTAAATCGACTAAGCTAGTAGTTATATTGTCCCACAGCACACGACCTAACGCAATTTACAACTGCTTATCTGCTTATTTTCTTATTCTGGTGCGTATCCAAATTACTGCAATAGTTTAACAATTAAATGCCACGCACAATTAACGCGTAATAATATGCCAGGCTGGGGTATTGTCTTTCAGCGGGAGTGTGTGTGTGTGTGTGTGTTCGAGTGTGTTTTACGACCTAGCTATTGGCACGCCCACTCTTGTTGCGCCCCTAAATAATGTATGTACATAGACACTCATACACACACACGTATGTGCGTATACATTACGCTGAATGACAACGCAACCAAAGCTGAGAGCTTGCTAAACTATTTATTTGCATATAAATATTTCAATTTAGTTTAGTGTACACTTTTAACAGTAGGCGTCGCACAAAAACAATGAAAACCAAACATCAAGTACGCATTTCCGCTTACTCTACACACACACACACACATACACACACAATCGGATATGTATATGCATGCAATATTTGCTGCTTTTGTTTTCCATTTAAAAAATAAAAAAAAAAATCTCAGAGCTTGACTAACAAGCGTTGCAATTGAAAACATTTTGTGATATGAAGAAAGAGTGCGGCAGTGAGGAGCTGAGGGTGTGTGCAGGGCAAAGAATGTGGCAACACCCCAAAAATTTAACACTAAACTGTGCGACTGCTGATAGTCAAAAATCGGGGGCAGCATCAGGCAGCAGGATACATTTAAGTACCAACATGATGTACATAACGTTTTACGACTGGTTCGCTCATAAAGCAACGAAAGTGCAATTACCACCACAACAATAACAATGACAACAACAACAACAGCAGCAATATAACCAACAACAACAAATACAACTACTAACATTGGGGTAAAGTGCAACATTGTTTCAGTATGTTGCGTGTGTGTGTTACAGGAAGGCACTTAAAATGTTACACCCATTACCGCCATAGCAAAGTTAACTTGCCCCAAAGTTGATGCCGCACATTGTTTTCAATTTTAAACGTTATAATATAACATGCAAAATGTCATTAAACTAGTTACCGCCTACTATGATTTTGTTCGTATTAAATTGAGTAATTTAAACGTGTCTTTAGCTGTCTCCAGGTCAGGTCAATATAAATTATAAAAAGAGCTCACCAAAGACAAAATAAATTCAGTAATCTAAAATGGAAGAAACCACAACCTTTTTAATTTTTGACATACTCAAAACGGACTTTATTGATTGAAAAATATTGTTTTAACTGCCATTTATGGTAACAAAATAAACTTCAAGCAACCCATCTGCAAGTTGATTGAAAAACTGTAAGACGCTTTAGATGAATAATATCCTTTCAAAATATTCCGAGTAAATTGAGTAAAGTGTTCCTGCTGTCGACCTTCTTATTGAAAAATAGTACGCAAGGCTGGCTATGCTGCAAAAAGCTAGAAAAGGGCAATCGTCCTGAACTGATGTTAGATGCGTGTGTGTTCATTAGAGTTTTGTCAAAGGTCAGCGGCTACGTCGCGACACGTCTCATTGGTCATCATTGCCGTCTCGATGGCGGCACAGTTGCAACACAAATGAAAATTCCAATGAACTGTCCGTCGAGGCGCCGGTGTAGCGTTAGCGTCCTTGGCACAGTGCCAGCCATCAAATTGTGTCCGAGTTGGTCATAATTTGGGGTACGACAGCGAACTTGAAATTGCTGCCAGCAGCAACTACAAATGTGACTGCAAGCCAAGTGTGTTCCACACCGAAAATCCGAAATGTACCAAACATATTCCTAATTCAAGCTGGTGGAAGCACTTTGTGAATTGCCTTGCCAGGCCACCTAGGCTGCAGCAACGTTCTGTTAATAACTTATGACAGGTTGGCAGGCAGGCATACCAACAACAAGGCGCCTTGACACAGTCAGCTGTGGTCGCTGCTGTCGGTTGGAAATGATTAATGTAGAGGTTTTGTAATGGGCAATTTGCCAAAAAAAGGGCTTAAGCCAGAGAAATGTGTACATTGTGTATGCTGACGGCTAAAGCCAATTGATAACTTACATGAAACAAAACAGCTGACAAAGAGTTTAAATCGAATCTGTCAAATCATTTTGCAGAAAAAGAGTTGCTTGCCATATTATCGCAGTCTAGCTTTCAAGTTAATTGCAAGATCGTATGAATTATTCATAGGAAATGTATTTCAACAAAGTTTTGAGCTTATTCTAGCTGCTAAGCTATCCCCAGGGCTCACTTGAAACGTTGTTGCCAATTATCAGCCGTGAAGCCTGCCTGAGTCCAGACACGTTTCAATATTTTGTCACTAAATCCCAGCACGTGCCGGCTTTTAACAATTTGCCTGGCTTATGCTGCGCCGTTGCGAAACCAATAAATAATTTGGAAACTTTCGCATTTCCAGGAATTTACAGTTCAATTGTGCTAATTGACTTCATGTCTGGAGCCAGACAGAAAAAAAAAAAATGAAAACAGAAGCTGGCCCA